CATCCAGAAATGAAGCTTTCTAAAATAACTGTATTTTTAATCATTACAACAAATATCTTCACGCATTCTTCACTGATTGATACATTCCTTATTCAACCTTCGAAACAATTAAAATGTTTGGAAAATATCATTTAAGAAATACGAGTTGATAATTGAGCTATTCTTGAGCCAAGTGCTTATTGCATTCCCTCGAATACTTTCTGCTGGGATGTTAAGTATGAAGCTGTTCTGTATATATTAGGCTCCTTAGATAGAGAGAAAGGTACTCGTCCTACAGATGTTTATATTGAAAAGGGAAACCCACCGCTTATACTCCAGTTTTAAATTTAGGTTGCTAATCAACAGATTCAACCCATCAAACTTGGTAGGTACCCTACTTTGAATGAGGACTAATGTCCTAATATAAATGGCTGACATAGTTCAAGGAACATACCTACCTCCCATATAACAGAGCTTATATTTTTGACCGATCTGTAGACTTAATACATAATAAATACTCGGCTGATCATATAATGCCCATTTCCACACGAACTTATAGTCTGCCTTTTAAGATTTCTAGAATTTTTGATGTTGGTCACATCAAGATTCTAGCAAAAGACTATGATGAGAGTCAGCAACACTGCTTTTTAACTATTCGATCGCTGCAAACGGCCATCTTTTTGCACTTTATTTCCTAGTGGGTCGTAATGGCAAGCGCTTCCTCAGGCTTGTAACACAAACACAAATGTAGAACTGCTGATCTGCTCCTTGTATTAGTGTATCTATGTTTGCTCGGCATATGCTTGCGTATGTATGTGCTTGAGCTGCGCTTAAACATTGCAGACTAATAACGAAGTCAGGAGTACAATCAACCACTTTTAAATATATGCAATGCACCAAAACCACCAACACAAGTTGAACTTCTGAAAAGTGAGTAACGTTTACTCGAATTTTCCTATAGTTAATGAGTAGTTCAGTAGAGAGAGAGAGAGAGAGAGAGAGAGAGAGAGCGAAAACTAGTTGGCAACAAGCGTTGCCGCTTCGGTCCGAACGAACCAATTTTGGCACCTTCCTTTGTCTTCGAGAATTCGGTTTGTAGGCAAAAGGTTTTGGTAGAAAAATTTGTTTAAATAAGAAAAATTAATATTATAAGTTTTTCGCTTATAATTCAAGCTAAAAAATAACTATCAATTCAAATTTTAAAATTCAGCTTTTCCGACAAGATAATAACCACTTGGATTGGATTGGATAGGAGGATGGAGAATTGTTTAAAAGTAAGATTTGGAAATCAATGCATATAAATTTCGGAATGTCTTGAAAAATGTTAAAGGACATTATACGTGGTCGTAGAGACATGGATGATGAAAAAGAAAGTGAACCACCTAATGAGGTTGATGATTCTGAGCATTAATTGATTATGTTTACAGCGAAATCAAAACAATCGCGAACGGAGTCAGCCAACAGCTGATGAATCACGCCCAAAGCGTCCGAAGGCACAACAAACCGTTTTTTTTTTTTTGGGATGGGCTTGAGAAGGGAAATACTTGGTTAACAGCAACTACGGGCTGACTACTGAAGGAAATTTCAAACAATTTGACGGCTATCGCTGAAACTAAGACCTATTTTGGGGCAAAAGATAGATGGTTCTACAAAAGTAATATTATAACGTTAGAGTGACTGTTGATCTTGATGGGAACTACATTGATGAATAAAGCTAGTTTAGAACAGAAAAAGTGCCTTGTTCGAAGCTGAACTTTCAACCAATGGATTAATATTATGATCGTATTATGTAAAGCTAGTACAAAGAGGTGGTCCCAAAATAGTATATTATCTGGGAAAAGATCTCTTGGATGCATAATTTTTCCCAAACTTTTTTTTTATATACATACTCGTATTCAAAAACATTAAAAACGGAACTTTTTTGTTCAAACTAGAGACCGTAATCTTGGTGAGTTCTAAAATGTAAATAAAAATTTAAATTAGTACTGTTGATTCTTACATATTTTGTTTAGCTGATACTATCAACTTTATAGTAATTATTTTTCCAGTTTTTCATAAACCATTAATAATAATAACTATTATTTTGAGCACAAAAAGTTCGCTCAGAAAATAATCTTTACTTTTTGAGCGTATGTTTTAACAAAACAGTAATCGAACTTGGTTAACATAAAGTTCGGAAACAAGAAATTATTTGAGCTTCAGCGATATTTTAAGCGAAAAAATAATTATAAAAAATTGTGATTGTTTCTGACCGATATTTAATTGTTCACAGTAATAATTATTATTATTAGTGTTTTATTAAAACTTCAGGGAATAATTATAATCAACAAAGGAGGAGAATAAGTCGTGAAATAGAATATCACTTCAAATCTGAAAAGAGGAGGAGAGTAAGTGGAAGGTTACGATTGAAATATTTTTGCTCATGCGCCTTTACTATGTGAATGATTGTTTTTCTTTTAAGAAAATACAGATAATCTTTTTTATAGTCCCTGGTTAAAAAAAAAAATGCTTTATTTGTTTCTTTTATCAGAAGGTCCTTTCACCATAGGCAACCACTAATGTGTTAACATATACATATGTCATCGGCTGTTGTCTGCCATCAACTGTAAAATTTTCACATTGACAGTAACAGTCCTATTCTCACTGTTACCGGTAAAGTAAATTTTGTTACTTTTTTTAACACCCGAAATTAAATTTGGTATTCTGGCGAACTGGTTACAATATTTGAAAAAAATTTGGCAGCACTGCTTTTTTCGTCCATGTCAAATTACATTTGCCAGTTGGTAAGGTAAAAAGAGAAGAACATTCACATCGAAATGGAAGACGTGGCACAAAAAAATTAAAAAATTGTATTAATTTGTTTATTAAATCATGCCTGGACAACAAAAAAAGCTGAATGAAAACGATATCTTACAAATTAAAGGGCTATTTCTTGTCTCGAAAACTTCTTAAAACACGACTTTTTGCACTTTTTTCTTCATTTTCAATGAATTCCAGGCCTAAAATATGCCTACCCATTTTGGTTTTTTATTTTTTCTCAAACTTACAGCACAAAATCAAACAGCAGATATTTTTGTTACCTCCTATTTTGCTGGTAACAAAATTTACAGGGTAACAGTGAACTCAGAATACGAAATAGTAACAAAATTTACTGAATGTTAAATTTTAATATCAAAGTAAATTTTGTTACCTCGACAGAATAGGCCTGTAAAAATTACATTTGCACGAAATCTCGCTAATGACAATATCATTGATATTTTAAGATTAGATGAAAATAAGTGATTAAAATAATGAAAATCGTTCCGATCTTCTCTTTCCATTCTCTTAAGCTAGTTTTAGAGTGTAATAGCTTTAAACAGTGAACATGTTAAGTAGATGTTATTTTAAAAATGATTATGTTAAGCAATCAAAAGTTCTGTTAGGCGACTAGAAGGGCAGTGGAGTAGAATCATCGCCCGCATGCCAGCGAACACACCTTGATGAATTAGTAGTTAGGAAAGTTGAATTATTATTTTTTATACAACAATTGGTTTTGGATTTTTATGATTTACTAGAAAATAGTGTCGACCACAGGAGCTACAAAACATTGCGAAGGAAGGTTGTTTCAACCGTCACAATGACGATAATGCATACTTAAGCTTTCGGATGCGACGACGGTGCACAAAATGAAATATTAGTGGCAGTTACAAGGAAAAATAAAGCTCTTTCATGGTTTCTATTTGAACGTAATCGAATAAACTCTACAATAATAACTTAAAACGCATTTTCGTACTTAAGTCGTCATTCCTGAAAGTCTAAACCACAAATTGTTGCAAAGCAAGTTTTACATAAATTTTCGGCATTAGAGAAACATATCGCCAAAACATAAAGCTCTTGTACATTTTGCGGGCTAATTTTTACTGAATCCTGTTCGGTGAAAACTCAGTAAATTTCTTTCCTACTCTCTCAATTTCTTTACTGGCTAATTTTCACTGAGCTTTCTTAACGAACACAGCCGAAGTCTCCACATAATCTGGCAGCCGAATTGCTTGCAATTATCTGTCAAAATGACATTTGATATGCAATCCCTAATTGCCAGTGCAGATGAGGGGTAAAGTTTGGTATTTATGATGGTAAACAAGTTTGGTATTTTCGCACCAGATTTTGGTAGATTTTTCCGAGTGACAACTCTGAATCAGATGGCAACAACACACCACTACACACGAGCGCAGTTACCTCAACGGAGTCAACTAGCTAGCTGTTAGCTGGTTAGTCAAACAGAAAGGCAAGCAGTCCACGCTTGAATTTTTTGCTCAAGTGAACCGGCAGTCAGTCGTTTGTTGATGTTCCTGCTTGATAGTTGTACGAAAAAATTTCGTGACGCTTTTGCTACTTTTTAAACGCGCCGCCGTTTTTTATGTCGGCATTTTTTTATATTTTTTGTTTTCATTATATACATACTCTTACATATGTATGTATGTGGTATATATGTACATATGCATATATAAATATGAAAATGATGTGTGCTACTCCTCATCAGACGTGTATGAGTGTGTATAAATGTATATATAGTTAATAACGTGTGCTTTATATGCAAATGAAACTGAGCGTCCGAGTTTCAAATATATCGTGCAGTCATCAGCGTTTCCCTGACTCTATGAAAATAAATATATATATACATATATACAATACTTGTACATATGTATACATATGTTAGTATGTTAGTATACACTTATGAAGTTTATACTGCAAATTTTATGCACTTTTGGGCATAAATAAAAAGTTTTGGAAACAGGTATACGCGTTTGAAGGAAGAAAAAAATAAATAAAAATTAAAAAAACCAAACATTTCCTTATAATATACTTACATATGTATGTATGTAATATTCATGTCAATGTTCCAGTGAATTTAATAGATTTGAAAGCAGCGATTACAGTGAAATAAATATATATATAAATATATTTTGTACTGATTTAATAAAACAAAAAAAAAATATTTAAAATAAGTCATAAAAGAAAAAAATATAAGCAAAATATTTAAAAAAAAATATTGTGGCCTAAAATATATACATACAATTTATATGTACGTGCATGTAGCATATCCACAATTGCTAGAACCCAACGAATTGTTTGCTGTGAGCTATTAAAAAAGGCCTACGGTCTAACCATAATAACAAACCGGCTTTTATCGATGACGCAGCAAGGTGAAACGGAGACTCAACTCAGCGCGCAGAATAAATGAACGTCAGTGACGTGATAAAACAACAAAAACTTCGAAACGCTAGTCGAAAAGCGCAAAATTGTTAGCAACAATTTTTTTTTGTTTTTACAAAAAGAAAAAATGCAAAAATTATAAGTTCTTTTTGTATTTTCTATTTTAAACATTTCGTAACTGACAATTTGCAACGCGCCGCTGAGAGCGCGAGAACAACAGATCGTATTACAAAATTGATATAAGCACAAACACGCACACACACTCTATACATATAAAGAAAATTAGCTGCTTACCAGTGAGTGTGTTGGTGGTGGCACATACATAAATAAATACGTAATCGAGGTTTGAGTCAATGACGTTGGAGACAAAAGTAACAACGAAAACAGGAAATATAGAGCGTAGAAATATGCCGCGCTCAGTGTGTAGTGCGCCAAGATCACCACGACCGCCGTGCTCACCAACACGCACAACATCAAACTCATTATCACCAGCATCAACAAATCTGGCATCAATATTAAACACAACAACCACCATCATGCTTTCGAGCGCAACGTGCAGCTGGCGAAAGAGTGACTACTCAACAAACTCGCTGCGCACCACCACACCAACAACAACTATCAGCTGTAACAGTCATCAATATAATAATAAAGATTTTTATAACACGAAAACTAGCCAACAACGTAATCATATTTTTTCACCGGCATTTACATTTAGCCGGCAACTGGTTTATGCCGCATTGTTGCTTCTAGTCTTTGCGGCGGGCAATTGTTGTGGCGGTGGTGTGGGTAGTAGCGAAAGCTTAGCTTTCTCAGTGGCAAAAGCAGTGACAGCAGCAACTGTGGAGGAACGCCCATTACATAGGCGGCACACGACAACTAAGGATAATAGTGTTGTTGTAGTTGCAAGTGCAATGGATGATGAGAATGTGGTTTTTGTAAATAAATGTTGTGAGAAGTTCGAAATTCATGTGGATGGCGTTTGTACGCAGGTCAATGAGAGTGGTAAGGAGGCTGATAATAATATAATTTAAAAAAAATAATAAATATATTTAAAAGACGAACACACATGCACATCAATTAGCAGCGATTTAAGGTTTTTAATAAAAAAAAATGGCATTTTAATTTAAAAATTAAATTTAGCAAATAATAAAATAAGCAAAAATGCAGTGCAAAAATGTTAACCATTTTAAGGGCTTAAGAAAAGAAGTCTCCGCGGCCTATTTTCGAACAACATTTGTTTCAGTGAAAATTCAGGATCCGTGGGTTCGATGCCTGGCATGGGAAGTCTGATGAGGAGAGGTGGCGATCTCCGAAACAGTTGTCACTTCTACCATTTTTTTTTTGTTGCATAACGAAAAATATTCCATTAATAAATATAAACAAACCAGGCCTTAAGCTAACCAAAAAAAAAACTCTTAAAACAAAAAAAGGAAAAAAATTATGAAAATTAATTTAAATTAAGTACATATTGGCTATTTTGATCTCTGAACTCTTGCCATTTTCGGTTTCATACTTTCACCAGAGGCGAAGAACTGGGCCCAATGATTTCTACCAGCGCTTTGGTCGGCCGAATTTTCTTCTTTTTTTTTAATCAATGCAGTTTTGCGTAGAACGAAAGAAGAAAGGAATGATAGTTGGTTGGTTCAAGGTTCTGGTTATATAGTGTGTGTACCAAAAATTTCCATCCAATTAAGCACGGTCAAGTTTCGTCTTGGTGATCAGGAATATATACGTGTATGTGGTCTGGCATGGTCATGATGAAACATAGAACATTTTTCTTGATGCTCCTTTGTTCGAAGAGCTTGTATTTAGTTGCTGACAGTAAAGCTCAAAATTGATCGTTTCGCAAGGTTGTAGCAGCTCTGAATGGACAATACCCATCCGAACCCATCATACACACAACAACAGCTTGTTGCCCTCGATTCAGGTCGTCATTTCTGGAGGAACACCGCTGTTTAGTTATGAAATTTTCCGTTTTAAATTCTCGTATTCAACATATTTTCCATCACTCGTTATGAGCCACTTTAGAAATGGTTCGATTTTGTCTCGTTTCAGAAGCTGGTGGGAATTCGGTCAACAATTTTTTTATTTATTTTTTATTTTTTGCTTTAATTAATGAGGCTGCCAATCATCGATCTCTTTTGAGAAGCCAGTCGTTTTTAAATGATTTCAAACTGTCACCGCTCCATTGAGTTCACCATCGGTGATAAATTTGTTACGCCGTCAGATCTTTTTTCATTTTTTAGAATACGGAATAGTCAATCGAGGCCAATTCATGGCTGTAGATTGAGTGATTCAATCATATCGAAGACCAAGTTATACAGGGCAGCAAATGCAATGTCGTTTTTTTGTTGTTTTTGCGGAGGCGTTAGCATATTCAGCACTCAACCAGCGCTGAGCTTAGACATGCTAAGATGTTCATATAAGATTAAAAAAAAATTGTATCGGATAATCCTACCATTATTTTAGCATCGTGGCGAACACTTCTTTTCTCAAATTTTTTAAAAAATTTTGGCGTGGTCGCCTTGATGGTAGTGCATGGCTTGGGGTACGTCTTCAAGGGTTTCCCTTTCTTGTTGTGCTACTTGCAAATCAATTCCTTGACCAGATTCGACATTAATCAATGACATCTCATTCATTATGGTCGCAACTGATTTTTCATGCTTGTTAAGGAGCTTAATAACGGCACGATACTCAATTTTTTTCACTTTTCAATCTCGAGAGTTCAAAGGTTAATTTTCTAAGAACAGAGAATTTTCGTATTTATACTACAATAATTATGAGCTACTGCAAACGTTACGATCTTAATGAGCCTAATCATCGTCCAAAAATACACCCTTTCGGCAAAAAAAGGCCACTCGTATGAAGGAATGCTAAGACCCAAGGCATAGTAAGATGCGGTGCTTATAACTCGGCATTGACTAAGTAAACGAGTCATAATTGTCCTTAATTTCAATGTCTCAAAAAGTGAAGTCGAAGTCATTAGCTTTGGTGTCACGAATACTCTAAAGACAGCATAATTTATGTCCTTCAAGTCTTTCAAATATGTGTTATTCAGCATTGTTCTGCGTTTCATCCTTTCCATAGTAAGGAGCTCAGCTTCGAAAAAACACTTTGTGGTTGATTGCAGATTTCCTTGCCACATACTGTTCGATCTTGAGTGATTTATTCTAATTTATGGTATAACATCGTTTTTCTTGCATATCTCTAAATCTATGAATATCGCTCAGGCTTTCCGTTTTTCCGCCAACTTTGGTTCTTTGAGTAATGGCTGGCTTTCTACTGACCGCATTCAAATTGATTAATGTCAAAAAAAAAAAAAAAAAAAATATGTATTCAAAGCAATAAAACGTGCTTCGAAGTTACTCGTAGATGCCATGAATAAAGCTAAGAATTATGTCTGATTTATTTACGGGGATTAAGCTGCTGAAAAACCATGAATAAGAAGATAAAAGAAATCAAGTACAACAGTCCAAATAAAATTAACGAAATAAACAGAGCACAACAAAGTAATTTTATGGCGAATATGTATATGTGTACAATCAATGCACAAGTACAAACAATCAAGTACATGCCTACATATGTACTAATATTTACATAGGTAAAGGGTGATTTTTTAAGAGCTATAGGAAAGTTTTTTCAAAAAAAAAAAATACTTAAAACGTAAAAAAATGCATGGATTATTTATTTGAATCGATAATTAAGTCCATATAATTTAATATTTGAAGATTATTTCATGCAAATGTTGACCGTGACTGCGCCTCAAATGGTTCATTCGCTTGGTTCAATTTTGCCATAGCCTTTCCAACATTTCGGCCGGTATCTCACTAATAAATGCTTAAATGTCGTCCTCCAATGCGTCAATTGAAGCGGATTTGTCTGTATAGACATTAGATTTAATATGGCCCCACAAAAAATAGTCTAAAGGCGTTAAATCGCACGATCTAGGCGGCCAATTGACCGGTGTCGAACGTGAAATAAAATGTTCAACGAACTCGCCTCTCAATAAGTTCATTGTTACGCGGGCCGTGTGTCATGTGGCACAGTCTTGTTGAAACCACATGTCATACAAGTCAAGCTCTTGCATTTTGGGCAAAAAAAAGTTTGATATCATCTCACGGTTGCTCTCACCATTCACATTTACATTACGATGCGCATCATCTCTGAAGAAGTAGGGTCCAATGATGCCACCAACCCATAAACCGCACAAAACTTTGACTTTTTCTGGATGCATTGGTAACTCTTGTCATGCTTCGGGCTGATCTTCACTCCAAAATCGACAATTCTCTTTATCTACGCACCCATTAAGCCAAAAATGAGCTTCGTTGCTGAACAGAATCTTTTTTCTTTGAACTTTTTTAGCAGAGCAGGCATTTTGATAATAAAATTCAATAATTTGCAAGCTTTGTTCGTTTGTAAGCCGATTCCTGATTAAATTATAGACCGAACTGAAGATGTTTATCAATGATACAAAACACGAAACGTGCGTCAGCTGTTTAAGCCAGTGTTGCCAAAAAAAAAAAAATAATAGCTAAAAAATCACCCTTTACTTGTATGTATGTATGTATATGTATTCAAGTTAAAGTGTTAATCTAATTTAATTTCTTTTTCTTTCGGGTTATGGTTTAATTTACTGTGTGTGGGCTAATTTCTTTTGTGGAGCATAATTAGATAGAAATCTCAATTTTCATCATTCAATCATTCCATAACCTATAATAAAGAGGAATTTTGTTGGAAATTCTCTGTAGAATTTAACCCAGGAACAGTTTAACTAAAAATCCACAAAAACTAAGCGATCTGTCACTGATCCACCCGGGAGTTTTTTTTTTTAAACGTGGGTGTTTTCAAAGAGGCAATACTTCTTTCGGAGTTGATCTATTTGACAGTGTCACTAGATTTCTACTCCGTTTGGTTTGCCATTTCATATTCAACGGACTTATGCCGGAACAACGTTTCATTCAACATAATCACCTAGAAGAGTCGGTAATTCGAACAAATATTAATCAGTGATCGAACCAAGTTGACTCTATTGGATAGAGCGCATCCTCAGAGATGCCGTACAATGCGCACCGAAGATGCTATCGCTGCTGTGGAGCAGAATATCGAACAAGATTCACATGAGTACAACCGCCATTGCGACCCACAATCGAAATTGTGCCTATACACTTTATGAAGTCACCTTGGTTTGCGGTCTTACAAAATCCAAATCGTACAAATATTGTCGCCGAACGACTATCAAATGCGTCGCACGCTCGGTGAATGGGCCCAAACTGAATTGGCCAGCAAACACGATTTTCACAAGGAAATTCTATACAGCGAAGAAGTTAAATTTTGGTTGAATGCGTTCTTTAATCCACAAGCTATTGCTGAGACGCCGTGACATCTTCAAAACATCCATTTTTGGTAAGCTCTATGGGCGATTCCCTTTGCCTTGGTTTATATTTCTTCAAAAATGAAGCCGGCCATAAGGTAACAGTAGAGCCCTGACTAGTGAACTTTTCCTGCCTGACTTGGAGGATGTTGATGTGGCCGTTCTTGGGTTACAAAAAAGCCAACGAAATAATGAATTTATTGAAGTAAACTTTAGCTCAGCGTATTATCTCGCATCGTGGGGTTGGGTTGTGGTCTCTAAGGTTGTGGAATTTAACACCGCTCATGTATAGGCTCATGTGAAGTCGCTTTTCTAAATCAGAGACAACTGACGCTCTGGAAAAGAGTACACGCCGATGTGTTGCTAATATAAGGCGCAAATTTCTGCAAGACGAGGTCGAAAATCAGGCCGCTCGACTGGAATTTATTCAAGCCAGCCGCGGCGGTCACTTGTCAGAAATGATTTTTAAAACATAATGGCAAACCCTTATCTTAATACTAATAATCTAACTTTTTATTGAAAACTACATGTCTAAAAAAATATACTCCTTATTATGTCCGGGTAGTGTACCGAAACCCGATATAAAACGGAACGGATCGAGGCTCGATTAGCTTAAAATATAGTATTGTTTTTTTCTTGCCACTAGACCAGGAATTAAGTTCGATTTTCATCAAATCAGCGGCAGATCGACGAAAAGTGGTATGATTTAGACGAAAGCGTACATACTGTACTGTTATATGTACTGCGTCATGTACGTCGACAGACAGATCAGATTGAACTATTGCAAGGTCAGCAGCCGCGGCAGCCAAATCAACAAAGTGCTATTCCGTCAAGCCGGTAGTTTGAGGCAATTCAATAAAATCATTGAAAACTATTTGTCAGTCCTACGCTTAAAACTATTTTAAAACGGTAGTTTTTCGTAACCATTAGGGTGGTAGGTCACTTTACTTTCAAACTAGTATTATTCTAGCTAACATTTAGTGTGTCTCCTCGTCTCCTTGTAGTGAGTAAAAGAGCTTGTTCTCTTGTCCGCTTTTGAACTTTTCTTCGAATTGGAATTGGAATTTTTTTGTTACCATAATTTACTCGGATCACTGTATGTACTCAACTTGAGTGTTGTTGTTGCCAAATGAGGAAGCAAGTAATTACATTATTCATACGATATAAAACAAACGAGCACAACCAACGGATCAACATGCGTTGCATTGGAATGCAGCTCATTGTACAGCGTACACACACATATATATACGAGTATCTATGTAGAATGCATATGAAGGACCGCAGTGCGATCAAATGCTTTAGCTGTTTAACTGCATTCGACGCATTAAGTTTATACTCTTTTTCCGTTTTTTTTTGCTAATTTTTTTTTTTGTTTTTGTAGAAGTAAATATTTGCAGTGAATTGCAATGGAAGCTAAAAGCGCATTGATGACGAGTTGATTAATGGCATCTGCTTTAACATTGTTTTACTGTTGATTGTTCTCAAGATGGCATTAACAACTTTTCATCAGATATTCTTCAGCCACATTCTGCTTTTCACAGTTTTTATTTTTTTATACCTTTCATCACGAAAATGCACACAGCGCTCATTCTTCGTGACCATTTCGCTAAAACTCCCACGAATATCGTTCCCCACGCACCGTATTCGCCGGACTTAGCACCATGTGACTTCTGGCTCTTCTAAAAACTCAAGAGACCACTTCGAGGACACCGTTTTGAGTAGGTTGAGAAGATTAAACGTGAATCGGCCCGCTCCCTGAAGACCATAACCTATTTGACATGCATAGCATCGGCAGGGGACTATTTTGAAGGCGACGAAATCGATGTAGAAGAATTAATAAAGATTTTTAATTTTGAGTGCATAAGTTCGTGCCCGATTCCGCTGGATGCCGTTCGAATCGTTTGAGAATGGCGCTCGTGAAAGAAATATATACATATTATATATCGTTNGGGAGTGGATTGCCGAACATGATGCGAATACATAATTGATTAATAAAAGCGCTATCTTCAAGAAATTTCTATTTTAGTTTGCACTTGAAATCGGGCACGAACTTATGCACTCATCCAATACAAACAAATTCACCTTACTTTTAGCTCACAGTAATATGTAAGTACCGTATCATGAAATCGGAGGACTATCTTATATAGTCCCCCAACAACCAATTTGTTCAACTATGAGAATTAAATTCTTACAAACTTTTTATGGTCATGAAAGGTATAAAGACTTTTCGGCACGACCGAAGACAGCACTTCTTGTTTACTTTTGTTATTATTTATTTATTTATGTTGTTATTAAGAAATGCGAACAATTATCACGAGTCAAACCGGCTGATGGTGTATCAATGTTATGTGAATGTGTTGGCCGTCAGTCAGTCAGTGATCAATAGGCGCAAGCGTTCTTTTTCTTATATTATTTTGTTAATAGTTTTTGTTGATCGCAGTTCGGTCAATCGGATGCAAGGCAATTGATTCAGTTGTTAATTTGCAGGCGGAGAGGAAATTGCATGACCACAGCTGCAGTTTGCTTTATGAAAAGCAGATGATTTTTTGCTTGCAAATGTCTATAGAATATTTTATAATTATTAGATATGTATGTGCATGTGTATGTTGTTAACGCTAATTAGGCAATTGGGTATAGTAATCATTATGTGCAATAAAATATATATTTTCAAAAAAAAAAAAAAAAGAATATGTCTAATAGTCGAGTGGTTAGCATTGCGTACTGCCATTCGGAAGGCTCGGATTCAAATCCTGGCGTTGGACTAATATCGAAAATGTTAAAGAAAATTTGTTTATATAAAAAATTAAGTTGAGTTTTCTAATTGCGGTCGCAATCAACCCCTCCCGAGTGTATTTTTGACATGAAAATCAAAGATCCTGATAAAAATCTTTCGGCCCTTCGGAGGCAGCTTAGTATAAGCTAAAGGTCCCTCCATTTGTTGAAAAAACATCAAGACGCCCACAGACCACAAATTGGAGGAGGAGATCGGCCGAAAATCGCTTAAGCGGTTACAAAGCGCTAATTATATATATAATATTGTAAAATAATAATTCTACTCCCCACAAAAGCCGAGTGATTAGCACTGCGTAGTGACATTCTGAAGACCAGGGTTCGAGTCCCATATTAAAAAAAAAATGAAATTTTCTAATTGTGGTCACCAATCGCCCCTCCGAGTGTATTTCTGACAAGCAATCAAAGCTTCTCATAAATATCCTTCGGCCCTTCGGAGGCAGCTTAGTATAAACTGAGGGTCCCTTCATTTGTTGGTAAGACACTAAGACGCATACCACAAATTGGAGGAGGAACTCTCATGAAAATCGTTTCAGTGATTGTAAAGCGCCAATGATGTTATGCATAGTTAGTTTATCAGATTACTTGATCACGGAACCCTGTTCAATCGCACTTAGCCCTATTGACCCATCGTGATACCTATGTTGGTCCTGCTAAATACCGATTGACAGTGCAAAAAGAACTAAACTCGTCATACTAATCTGGTCGATATAAATTTTGGTGGGTCCCTCTCTACTGCTTCTTGTAACTATATACTTCGAGCCAAGGTCCATAAAACTATTTTACGTTTATGAACGGTAAAGAGTTTTTCAATAAGAGGTGTTATTTTGAAGAAGCTGTATTTTTTTTTAACATTTGACAAGTAAAAATTAGGCTGATAATAAAAAAGGAACGACACAAACTTCAACGAAGCATTAAAATGATTGAAATCCACTTTAAAAATTCCATCCAAAAATCATATGGACTGATGAGGCCCATGCTGTTGATCTGGAAAATATACGAAATCTCATATCCTTGATCAGTTACTGGTTCTTCGTAACAATTATTTGAAATATGAAAGGCTAACAATAATCTAAAGTAGTTTTCGAAATTAAATAAATTCTCTTCATTAACGCTTCTCGGACTTGTGTAATGCGTCCTGATGTTTTTTTTCTCTTTAAATGGTGAGACCTACAGTTTTAAGCTGCATGTAAGCGAACTACATCCTTTAGATGGATACCCCTGCTGGGTAGGGCTGCAAGATTTTACCCGCGTTGAGGCATGCCTGTCGCAGTAGGCGACTAAAATCCAAAGTTGCCACGACAGTCGGGTCTTTATAGCGGAACGATCCAGATTTATATCCGGTTAAGGACTGTCACTTCCAAAAACTACTTTGAAGTATATTTTTGCGGCTACAGCAACAACAACAACAACAACATCATCATCTTTTAGATGCTAATGAACTCCTGAAGATGCTGCTTGTAGCCTGTGGTCGCTATAATTATTACGTATGAATATTAATATCCCTTATATTAAGCAAGTTACTCAGGTATTTAGTATTTTTAGGTACATACATAGTATATGCGTTTTCAGCGAACTTAAAAAGTTTACTCGAATGTTAATTTTTTTTAGCTTGGTATTCACATTCAACTTAATTTCTTTCTTTATTGTTTTCTGCTTGCAGACTACTTCCAACCAATGTTCACCAACTACCAAGGCGTCCATAACGTGCCCGTGAAATTCAAGTTTGTTATTGGTATACCGGCTTGTGGCACCATGCAGTCATGGCCCATATATCATTACCAAGGTGTAAGTAGCGCAACAGTTTATTTAGACATACGTATATACATACATACATTTGTGGGTATATTAATGATTTGATGAATGTAATTGAATAGTTTTCAAATAAACTGACTTTTGTAGTGCAAAAATTAAAATAAATCATAAAATAAATATAAAAAATATAAAAACAATTTAATTATAAATAAAAACTAAATACGAAATTAAAAAAAAAAATATTTCAAAATACAATAAAAAATATAGGAAAACTTAAAAGCATAAAAGATAAATGGAGATAAAGGAAAATATAATAAAGAAAATTTAAAAAAAAATATATATAAAGAAATAAAAATAATAAATAAAAAAAATAGAAATATATATAAAAAAATACATCAAAATATTAAAGAAATAAGAGTAAATAAAGTAATTAAATAAATATATATAAAAAAATTAAAAAGCAATAAATAGAACAAGCCAAATCAAAATAAATAATAAAAAATAAACAAACAACTAAAAAATAAATAAAAAATATAAAAAATAAAAAAAAAATATAAAAAATAAATAAAAAAATAAAAAAATATAAAAGATAAAAAGAATAAATAAATAAATATAAAAACAATTAAGAAAATAGTTTATAAAAAAATAAAAAAAATAAAAACAGAAAAAAATAAACAAAAAAAAAAAACAAAGAAAAAAACAAAAAAAAAATAAAACTATTAAAAAAATTAAAAAGAAATAAATAAAAAAAAAGTATTATAAAAAATAAATGAAAAAAAAAACAAAATTAAAAGCAAGAAATAAAAAATATAAGAAATAAATAAAAAATATATAAAATAAATAAAAAATATATAAAATAAATAAAAAATATATAAAATAAATAAAAAAAATATAAAAGATAAAAATAATAAATAAATAAATATAAAAGCAATTAAGAAAATAGTTTATAAAAAAATAAAAAAATAAAAATAAAAAAAACAAAAAAATAAACAAAAAAAAAACAAAAAAAATTAAAACTATTAAAAAACTTAATAAGAAATATATAAAAAAAAGTATACAAAATAAATGAAAAAAAAACAAAATTAAAAGCAAGAAATAAAAAATATAAAACATAAATAAGAAAATATAAAAACAATTGAAAAAAAAATAAATAAATAAGAAAATATAAAAACAACTGAAAAAAATAAATAAATATAAAAAATAAACACTTAAAAAGTAAAATAAATTAATAAAAAAAAATATAAAAAAATTATAAAACCATTAAACAAAATTTAAAAAAAAAAAAAATAAAATAAAAAATAAAAATTAGTAAGAAAAAATTTTTTTTTAAATATTTAAAAAATTAAAAAAAAAAATTAAATAAAGCACAAAAAATTAATATACAAAAACAGAAAACATAAAAAAACTAATGCAAATATTTAAAATCAAAGCCGGTCCCGGTTCAAATCCTGGTATGACCAACATCAAAAATTGTAGGAAATTAATTTTAATAAAAAAAATAAGTTAAATTTTCCAATTGCGCTCGCCCCTCGGCAGGGTATGTCAACCCCTACAAGTGTATTTCTGACATGAAAAAAGCTCCTCATAAAAAACCCTAAGGCGTTCCGAGGCGGCTCAGTATAAACTGTGGGTTCCTCCAATAGTTGGAAAAACGTCAACACGCAAAACCACAAATTGGAGAAGGAGCTCGGCCGAAATTCGCTTCAGCGGTTACAATGCGCAGATTATATATGTATATATTATAAAAATAAAAATTATATATGTACAAAAATAAAAATAAATTTTGAAAAAAGAAATAAATAAAAAATTAAAAAAAAAATTAATTAAAAAATTGATTTATAAAAAAAAAAATAAAAGAACATAAAAAAATTAATGAAAAAATAAAGATATTAAAATGAAAAAATAATTATGAATAAAACAAAGAAAAATTATTTAAATAAAAAAATTATATAAATAAAATATAGAAAATAAATAATAATATAAATATATGTATATAATATATATATATATATATATATATATTTTTTTTAATAACATTCACTTTCTTGTTCACCTTTAGAGTGCCGATCAATTGGTGCTTTTGGATGATGGTAGATTACGCCATTACACCAATTCAAATGAGGAGGAGGACGAGGCGTTGTATGAGCACACAGATTATGAGGCCGATTTGGATGATGAACGCAAATCGCTCTTTCATGATTATGCCCAAGGGCAGTATTGCATTGATAAGGTGATTATTAATTTTTAACTCATATTATATGTATTCCAATTGGAATTGAACAAATTATTTATGCATCGATATGCGTCAGCAAGTATTTTTTCGACATTATTTTAGCGTGTTTTTTTTATTTTCTTACTATTTTAGGCCATTTCGACAAGTGGTCAACATACGCAGGTGCTTTATGCTAATATATGTTTGGCAAAGAGAGAAATCAAATGGTCGGATACAACATTTTTGCTGCGCAAAGTAATTAATCCCATATTGCATTGCATTTCCCTGATACTTTTACTGTTAATATCGATTATCTACTTTATACTGCCCACATTACGGTAAGTATTACGCAAAAAAAAAAAAAAAATTGACGTCATATATATGCATGTACATAGTCGCATTAATGTAATTTTAATACAACAGCGATCTTGTTGGCAATATCATTACCACAATTGCTGTGTGTTTGATGGCTGTACAAGCGGCGGATTTTGTGCGCATCTTTACGGAGTTCTCGAATCATGTGAGCTTCATTGTTGCTGGTAAACTGCTTGCTTTCATTCAACTCTACTTTGTTGTTTATTATTATTTTAATTATTTTCCGATTTTCACGCAGATATCATACTCTATATCAGCTTGCTGGGCGCCTTCTTTTGGCTGAACAGTTTCGGTTATTACATTTGGAAGACCTTCCGTTCACGCAATGTTTTCTTGCGTGTCACCGATGGTCGTAAATATTGCTATTATTCAGCATATGCGTGGGGTCTCACCGCGTTGATGGCTTGTTTGGCGGTATTCGCGCACTTTTTTCTCGACGCCGATTCGTACAAAGAGCAAAATCTTATTGGTGATCAGGAAACTATCGGTTGGCTTGGCATTTGGATATTTTTCGCACCCATCGCGTGTACAATACTAATTAACGTCTTTTTCTATGTGACAACATTGAGATTGATTAATCGGCGTAATGTTTATGGTCGTATACAACACAAATTGAGAGCTAAGTAAGTGCAATGCAATGCGCTTTTATGTATGTATCTATGTTTGTTAATCAATATTCCGTATATGAATATATTTTCAGTTTCATTGTGTTTTCGTGGATGTTATTAATTATGTCCGTTGCGTGGCTATTTCTTGTGCTATCCTGGTTGCCATACGATGGTTTTCTCTATGTGCACATACTAGTCAATGCTGCGCAGGCGCCGCTACTGCTCTACGTCTGTGTGTTGCGTCAAAAGCATGTTACATTTCTGTTGAAGAAATCCTGTTGTTATAATGAACCGCCATCGGCCAATGATTGGGGTGACGAAATGCATTATATGAATTGTAATAATTACTGAGATGAGGCGCGCGTTAAGAACGCGCCGATGACACGAAACATGCAACAAACGGTAAGCACGGTGACACCACAGACGCCATGTATATTTCCAGATGGCCTAACCATTGGGCCAGTGACTGTGTACAGGCAGACATCGGTGTAATTTGCTGTTTTTATTTTAAACTTATTGAACTAACTAAACTCTGAGTCTGACAAATTGTTTAATTGTAAGACAAACCTAATCATAATACAATCGTACAATATTAAGTGAAATGTCATTAATTTTAAGGTTTTTTATTTTTTTATTTTATATGAAAAATTCGAAACTATTGCATAAAGTAACTTGTTAGATGGTTCAAAAGTGTACTTAAGCTGTAAACTCGAATTGAAAATAATTTTTTTTTAGTTATGAAGACTTCAGACAAGTGTTGAGCTTTAAGATATTTTAATAAAAAAAATGAAATAAATATGTATATATTTAAATGCGTTTAATGGTTGGATGTAGGACATGATCAATAACACACTAGGGGCGCTGCTTATATGTATTTAGTACATACAGTTCTGTTTCTAACACTTTTAATTTCAATGAAAAATGTGATTATATACATTTGTATGTACATGGTATTTTGCAACCGCTCAAGCGATTTTCGAAAGAGCTCCGCCTCCTGCACTTTTATATTTTTTAACAGAATTGCAAAACTTACGGTTTATTTTAAATCGCCATCAAACGGCTGATAGATTTTATGAAGTGCTATTTATTTCATGCCAGATATATATACGCAGAGATCGCCAAGCCCTACCCAGTACGGCCACGATAACAAAAATTAACTTTTTCATATACATTTTCCTTAATTTTGTATGTTGGACCGTCCATGATTCAAACACACGATCCGCCGCATGTGTCTAACCACTTAGCCCGCCTGAGAGAACTAATATGTGAATTAATAAGAAAGTTCATAATGGCACATATAAACAGATTTTCAACTTTTTTGATCTACATACATATATGCAGATTCACGTTAATTCTTCTATTAACCACTTTGAAGAGTTCAGTTAGGAATTCGATGATGTTTGATGTTATTTCAATACTTTTTACGTCTACCCTAAGGGCAAAGTAAGAAGTTGATTAAAAAAAATTTAATTTTTAGGTATTAAGAATTCTGCTTTGATTAAGTTTGTGGGAGGTATTACTAATAGCCCGTTACTAGTAAGTGAGAAATAATCTCATGCAAACAAATCTCCTACCCCATAAAGGGTATAATTAAAGCAATTTTACAATTATAAAACTTTCACTTCAATTGAATAATTTTCCATCACAGTTTACTTTAAATATAAGTTCATTTCTAATGAGTTGCTCTGCACTTGATAAAAACATTGGGCAATTGAATAATCATCTACAATAAAGCATTCACTCACCTGACCAAAGAGTTTTCCATCTTCGCGTTGCACCAAATTACAGATTTGTGCACGTACAAGCAAATGTGTGTCATCCAAAACTGTATTGAAAAATCGACGAGTTGGCAGCAATGCTTCTAAGTCGATAATGAATTCCAAAAAACGTTCGCAATATGCAACAATAGATGGCTGTACATCACCCTCAAGTGAAATGGCTTCCAATATGCTTAGAAACTGAATTATTAAATTCTACAAATTCCAAAACAGAAAAAATAGAGAAAATGTAAGTGACGACTATAAATATCGTATTTTACATTAATTCTATTTACCTGTAGAAAATGTCGCTCCCATTCAACTTCGGCCTTTACGTTGCCTTTTTCTTTTTTCTGTAAGCGCCGCCAAAATTTGCGCCATTCCGGCACTTCACGCAGCTCCTGTTCCAAACGTTCTACAAAAGATATTTATGTTCAGTTTATATGATATATACATTTTTTGTTAAGCTTTAGTAACCGCTTACTTGGTTGCAGACAACTCCACATAGAGAGTGACACCAAACGTTTAGCCTGCTCGCGACACAGTTCAATTTCCATGCTATTGAAACAGTGATTCAGAAAGACAATCAAAGCAGTTTTCTCACGCATAGTTGCATGTCTGCCCTTACTATCGTTACCGGGTAGACATGTCTCAAGTACGTGTCGAAAGAATGCTGGATATTCTTCTGGTTTTGTTTCGAATATTGGCCAAACTTCGACACGTTCACGAAATTTTTCATTCACCATTGCAACAATGGACATAAGGTGAGCATGTGTGGCTGTTTCACGTTTATAATTCGGCCATAAATATTTTTCCAAATATTGACTAAATTCCAACATCATAATACGACGTGTTGCCGTTTTGTGATCTAAAATTTCACGACAATATATATCATCTATGATATTGGCATTGTAGGGCAAGAGCTCCTCAATTTGTGTTTCCGGTGACCAGTATTGTGCAGCGAGCTGGGGATCATATGAAGTTAATTGCAAACGTTTTACATAAAATGTGCATTACTACTCACCTGCCATATGATATCTGCGCTGATTTGTGACACAGTCACTGTATGCGGATTTTGTTTGCCAATGTCCTCGACATGATTGGAATGCTTGCGCTTCTGTTTCATAGTAAATTATTTAAAATGCAATAAATAAACAAAACTATCGAAAGTTTATATGTCGAACCAAATGCTTCGGCAATAAGAAACAATAAACTTTGACAACCGGCTGTTTACATCAATATTTGTAATAGATTGCAAATGCGACTGACTGTAGATACACAGAGTTGCATTTGAAGCACATAGATTTTCAAACCATCACATAAACTAAAGGCTACCGTTGCGTTATCTGTACAAAATTGGTGACTTTAATTTAACAATCCAGTGATCGAACTCAAAGGTCTGGTTAGAAGAAGCGTTGCAATATTATTGTAGACTATCAGCCGTATATTGGCTTGAAAGTAATCACGTTAAGCTACATTAGAGTAGGGAGGTGTCTGAGAAAGACCAGTTTGTTTACAAACGCTCCCTTATTTAACGAAGAAATGTTCACATATCAAACCAGTAGCCGCTGGCCTGCTTTGGCAGAGATAGATACACTACAAATCAAAGCGGAGAAATGTTAAGAAACGAATAAATAAGCAGTTTGGCAGGAGAACGAAAACATCTTAAGAAGAAAAAAATTTCACTCCACCTGTACCCAAGAAATTAAACTTTTAATTAATTTTTAAATACATATTTATTTATTTTCAACGGCTATTAACCGTTACAACTTAAAAATATTTTCTTTTCTTACATATAATAATTTTATTTAATTTCTTTTATCTTTTTCATATATCCATTAAGTCTTTAATTCGCGTACACACATCTGTTTAATAACTATTATTATTATTATTTTGGTACACATATATGTATATGTATAAGTACTACCTTAAAATTTATTATACGCTGAAGCCAATATGTATGTATGGAAGATATTTTAATAAATAAATATAAGTATACAAATGTATCTGTAAGAAGCAAAAACTGACGATGACGATGATAATTACTACTCTAGAGGAGAGAAGCGCCGTGATAAGTAAGTACATAAGCGATACACGCGATCTGACACGGGCATGTCTTAAACAGCATTCAAATGAAGGCAATCAAATATCTTCTAGTTAATTTCGTTATCAATATCCGACCACTAACTATAGCAGATGGGAAGCTATAGCTATCTCGTAGGTGCCCCAGTAATACACGCAATAATAAAATCTTATTACACGCAACTAGTCTCCGTTCGACACTGATCTTCCGTACTCATCTAACACGCCCTTCCATTCAATCAGCAATCGTCGAAACCGTTCGTTCCCTGCGCTTTCCGTTAGATAACCTCACAACTGCAGCCTTTCAGAAAGGGTACGAATATGCATTATTGAAATGCAGAACTTTTTAGAGCTGTATGTGAGCAATCGTTGGGTACATAAGCGCATAGCGTAAACTGCTGGCTTTTTCAGTTAAGTATTGATGCCGTTAGTGACCGCAACTGCGCGATTTTAAACTAAGCAAAATCGTAACTGTATAATAGACAATGGTTCGGATGTAGTATAGAATTTCCGTTATTTTGAAATTCAAACGTTCTTTGGTTCTACTAATTGAGAATTGAACGAAACTGTTAAATAAGGAACAGTTAGGATTGGGTGTTTTAGAATATTCAAGCCAAATTAATGGCTACACTTCTATATTATGTTGCAGCGTCTAGATAAATATGTAAAAATTTCTTTCTCTTTGGGGCAAAAATGCCAAATACGAATGTGAGGTGAGCAGGAGAGGCCGATAACTAAAGCATATGCTAGATAGAGAGCATTCAAACATTGTCTTCTAAAAGACTCATGCGCGCAATCTATAGCTATGTAAGAGCGAAGCCCGCATTGTTGGCAAGTGCAGCTGGGTATAGTACTCGGTAGTACTTCGGGTAAAACGAAGAGTGAGTAGTAGAAAAGTAGAGCAGAAATTTACAACAAATCTTGGTACTTTTATTTCACAAACCAGTGATCGAACACAGAGTATTTGGGAAATCATCGGGACATTATGAGCAAAAGTCGTTTCAATATCAATACACATATGTAAATGTATATACGTATTTGCGTGTATTTTGTTATTTTTTACAAAGTGTACATTGTTTAATATATTTTAGGAATTAAATGTTTACTTAACACAAAACTAAATCACTTATTCAATTAAATATTTTTAAACATATTCATCTAACTAGCTAAAGGTGCTGCACTATATGTGTGTACATATGTGCATGAAATATATAAATATTGAATTTACAAGTGTAAATATGCGTCTGGTGTATAAGAGCGACTTTAGAGATTTTTACATAAGATGATTTTCATAAAAGATAAATGAGTATGTTTGAATTCATTATTAGAAAAAAAAAAATAAAATTCAAAAATAATTATTTGTAATTAAATATCAAAATTTCGTACTGAGTTGTTGAAAATAGGAAAATTAAGATTTTTTTTTAGCAAATATCGATGATAATTGATTGGCTTAGTTCATTCGTTGCAATATCTACTTTTCGCTTATTGTCTCATTTTTATATATTTTGTAACAATACTATTTTCTTTTACTTAACATATACATACTTACATATGTATAAGAATATTCTTTTGTTCGTTTGACGTATTTTTTTTTTTTTTTTGTTTTGTTTTGCTCAATGCCATTGAGTTTTGAGCTCGTCCTACAGCCAGTCATTGGATGAAATGTTGCTTATCAGAGCTGGATTGAGTATTCTTACATATAAATATTACTTACATACATAATTTTTTTTTTGTAAACTCCTCATATGCAGTATACAAACACACATATGTTTAATGTTTACTATGGTTTGTGTGAGTGTTTAGCGAATATTGAAATGATTACATTTAAATTATTCATTCTACTAATAATGAACAGTAAATATGTATGTATATAACTATTAACACTATGAATTAATACATACATGTGTATACTTCGCATACCCGAACCAACACCAGATTCTTAAATTTTTAATTTTTTATTTACTTTTAATTTACATTATTACTAAATGTGGCAAATTCTCTCTCTCTACTTCACTTAAATAATTAATATATAATGAGCCAATTGGAATTTACAAAATAAATTAGAAAATACATAGTAGTATGTATGCGATTATTTTTAATATTAAATGCCAGCGTTTGCACGATACGTAACATTATACACAGTCCTATTACACATGGCATGGTTAGAGTTTCAAAATTTTAAATGAGTTCTGCTACGGCATCGTCCCCTTCGCGTATGGGCGCTTGGAATGTAGAGCCAGTGAATTCGTACATCTGGAAGTGAACGGTTATTTTGATAGAAAGATATTATTATACATTAATTACTTGGTATTTATGTGTATTTAGAATCTAAGAAGAGTTATGGATCGTGACCCCTCTAGGCTTGGATATACATAAATGCCCCTGCGTGATAGGGATTTAAGACAATTCCCGCAACGACCCATGCCTGTCGTAAGATGTATACCGGGATGTATACCGGATTTTTATCCGGGCAAGGACTTTCACTCCCGCAACATTCTTCACTAACTACTTTGTGAAATATGTTTGAGGCTACAACAATAACAACAACCATTTGAATGTATAAATTTGAGGCATAGTGTTGTTTTTGTTGTTATAGAAACCGAATAGTATGCTCAAAGGTATTTTTTTTTTAGTAACTGTTAGGGGAATGGCAGTTCTTGCCACCGAATATCGCGCCAGCCATCCTACCGCGTAAAAATTATTGAACCCCTAACCCACAGTGGTTATTTAATGCATACTGTTGGTGTTGTTGTTGTTGTTGCTGTTTCGAAGCCATTTTTTACTTCTGCCTAGGAGCTGGCGAGACTAGCCTAAATCATTGGGGTCACCTAATCCAGGAAACGAGTTGTTTCGACCGATTTGGACTAGTACGAAAGGGAGGTTTAGATGGGTGGGTTCTTAGAAGGCATGCAAGGAAATGGTTAATGTCATGCGGAGTCTCGCTGCATCATGTACGACACACGTTATACGTTGGGTATGTCGAGGTCAAGTCTGGATAAGTTGTGCCAGTATTACTCTGGTCTATCGAAATAGCTCAAGCTCTTCGTTTGCTATAGGTGATGCTTGGATTCCGAGAACGCCATCCAGAACAGTTATAATGAAGGTATTAACGGCTTTTTTACTTGTAGCATAGAGGTTGCGCTGAGCAAGTGATGCTCGGAAGAAATCAAACTTCCTTGTATCGGTGGTGCTGAGGACGATATTCTGACTAGCTTGTAGCTTCTTCATTTACGTCCAAATTGCGGTAGCGTTTTTTACGGGAATGAGATCCATGAAATCCCTTCGGGTGGAGGAGGGAGTTTCAATATGTAAACATCAACAGTAGCTGGAGGAGCACCTTATTTAATCCTATGGAGTTTGGTAGTTTGACCTTAAAACTCAACCGATGGCTGTTGACCATTCAGGTAGTCCATAGTCCAACTCTTCAAATCCGGCGGCAGCAATTAAGATTCCTCAATAACCGATAGTGCACTGAATGGTTGCTGCTGTCAAAAGCTTTTAAAAAGACGATTCGTACACAGAAACACTTTTGTTTAAGGCAATGCGCTTTCTGATTGCTTAGGGTGTTGATTCCGGTTATAGTGCTGTACGCTCTTTAGAAGCCATGCTGAAGTGCTGCTGGGCTCAGACGGTGTGAGAAGATCTGGAGCGGCAAGGCAGCAAGGTTATTAGGAAAAGAGAGATATCAGCCGGTTTAAGTAGCGCGATCACTCTCCTTATTTTCCACATATTGGTATTATTAGGGTGGTCAACGTCCGATCGAAAACTTCGGTGAGATAGTCTGCTAGATGTTTTAGCTTATTCCGTCGGGGCAGATGAATTTTGAGGCTTTCGTCACCCCGATAACCCCTTGAACATCTTCTCTGGAGAAATAGAGCACCGCGCTGACGTTTTTCAGTTAGCGCAGACGGCGGATCACGTAATTTTGTCTACCGAAAGGCGCGGTGTAAAAATTTGGCTATAATAACTCGCGCAATTATTCGGGCTGACGAGATACTGTCACGATGATGTATGATGCACGATAGCGGGCTCTTCGTAGTTGACTCGGATTTTCTTCGGCCAAAGGCTGTCACCCTTTCGGCGACTTATCCCCGTTTAGGTCCTCAGGTAATTCCTGGTAATTTTATGAAAACCCTTGGATGTTGGATCTTATACAATTTGCCGGCCGGAACTTTTGTGTGAGTGGCCTTAACGTTTACTGCAGGTATGCTCATACTTCCTGCGTTGTTTATATGGAGGGTTCAGCGATTGAGAGTTTCTCAAGTCTTAAATTTCGTTTCTCAAGTTCATACATATATGTTTGGCAGGTATGATCTTGTAAACCAATCTTTTTTGTTTACAAACCTGCATAAATTAGAACCAGTATGGCACTGCGGAAGGTGTAAGACCCAATTAGTTGCCTACCTTTGCTAACTGCTTATCTTTGTTGCTTATTTAAAACCTGGATCTTTTAGTATTTAGTGCATGCTGTTAAAATTTTAAACTTACGGATGGTGCGCGGTTATTTCGCAACGTCGCATAATCAGCAAATTCATTAATATGCGCATCATGAAGACGACCCAAAGCATTGTTGTTGCTCATATTTACCCCACCTATGTTTTCGCTATTATGTACGGGTGTACTGCTTAAGCCGTGGTTGCCGTTACGTGGCTGTATGGTGGCATACGTGTTGTCAACAACGCTATGATGTGGCACATGATGCTCCAGTTGAGCCTAGAAGCATAAAAACCAAAATAGAAAATAATTATGAAAAAAAGAAAAAGAGTGCACTTGAAAATAGCAATGAAAAAAAAAAACGATAAATAAATATTATATTTCGTACCGGTGAGTCAGAACTCGAAATGTGGTCAGGCTCAGAGAAGACCTGCATGGTCAGTTCCTGCTCTTCGTAGAGTTTTAGTTTTCTGCAAAGAAATGTAACGCATGCACATGTATACGGTATGTACGTTTAAATATATTCACTTTCTTAAACTTACTGCTCTATCCACAAAGGATTCTCTGTTGTATTCAAATCCTCAATTATTTGTTTTTTAATTAAAGCTTCTTTGCGGCGATTTTCAACGGGCACGGAGAGATTCCTAGAAATTGTATCAATAGTAAAATCAATTATCCATTATTGTAAGAAGCAATTTCGCTCACCAATGTTTCAGACAACAACACAGCACAATAAAACTAATTACGCCTACAAAGAGCACAATGATTAGTGCCACCAGCCCCGCAACAGCCAAATCGAATTCATCCTGTACGATAGTTATATAAGCTGGCACCACATTTTCAATCGCGAAGCCGGCATAATAGTCCTTTAAATGCAGACAAAAAATAATAAAAGATTTCACAATAAAATTTCAAAGTCTCTCCACTTACCCGCAGATAGTCATAATTGGCATCGATAACTTTTAATATTTCATCGACGGCAGCGATTTGCTGCGTATGCGGCTCAACTGCATGGAAGAACAAATCACACCAATCCATGCGTATGCGTCCCATAGCATCTACATGATAGCGTATCTCATCAACAATGATGCGATGTTGTGTTGCGTTACGTAATTCAGCAATGATCTCCTCCTGCTCTTGATGTACTTCCTCTGGGGGACGTGAGAGTATCACGCGCACCAGTTGCGTGGAATCGAACACCCATACATAGACTTTAGTACGTGTAGATTGTTGCGGTTGTTCCAATTCTTTAGCAATTACTTCCAACTCAAAACGATCTTGATTGTATTCCGCCATGAAAGCGGCAGTGGTGATGCGACCATCAGTAGAAATGGCTGTAAGCCGTAGGCAAAAGAAATGAAATGATTAATATTTTCAAAATTCGTAAACATTTTTCAAATGCAATACGTACCAAATGGACTTGGCACTATAGAACCGGTTGCTTTTGTAGCGCCATATTTATAAAGATTCGACGCTATAATCATATATTCGATTTTGGCATTTTTGCCTTCATCAGCATCGGTAGCATTAACTACTGTTATAACACTGTTTATTGGAGCTTTGGCATTTACGCCTGCGTAATAGACCTAAAGAGTATGGAAGTTTTACAACAAATTTCCTTTCATTTATTTTACTTAAAAATACCTCTTTTTCAAATATGGGCGCGTTATCATTTTCATCGAGTACCGTTATCCATACTTTGGCCACGGTGGTGTCGCGTTCGAGACTTTTTATGGAAAATGAGGCACGCTCTTCTTCGGAAATGTGTAAATCAGACTTAATGCTGGCGAGTATGTAGAGTGTATAGAAATCGGTCTCTTCTCTGAAAAATGAAGTTATTTTCATTTCCTTCATGCATATAATTTTTTTTCAACTTTAATCATGTTCTTTAACTAAGACAATAAAGTGCAGGGCAAAGCTTATTTCATTTTATTAATTTCAATTAATTTCTTATTTCTTATTTCGATTTGCTTATTTTACAAAATTTTAAATAAGTTTATTTTATTTTAATGAATGTTATTTGTTTATTTGCCTTTTTATTTTATTTTATGATAAGCTATTTTATGTTACTCTATTTGGTTTAATTTAGTTTATATTCTTTTCTCTTTGTTTTATTAAACTCCATTTTACATCAATTATATTCTTATTTGATTTTATTTTATTTCTTCCTTTCATTTCCATTTATTTTATTTTGCTTAATTTTATTTAATTTAATTTTATTTAACTATTTTGTTTTTTTTATACTTTAATATAATTTAATTTTTATTTTTGTCTCATTTAATTATTTTTATTTCATTTTATTTAACATAATTTCGTTATATTTCATTTTACTTCATTTCAATTAATTTAAAATTATTTAATTTTTATCTAATTTAATTTTTTATTTTAATTTTATGTTAAATATCTTTTATCATAATTTATTTTTTTATTGATTTCATTTAATTTATTTAATTTAATTCATTTAATTTTATTTTTTACTTTATTTTATATTGTTTAATTTAATTTTATCTTAATTTATTTTATTATGTTTTTTTTGTAATGCTATTTTTTTACTTTATTTTATTTCATTTTACTTTAATTTAATTTAATTTAACTTAATTTTTTTTTACATCTTTCATTTTAATTTATTTATGACATTTTAATTTTTAATTTAATTTTATTTAATTAGTTATTTATAATTTAATTAATTACAATTTTTTTATTTTTATTATTTTTATAATATTTTTATTTTAAATTGTTTCAGCTCTTTTAAATAATTTTATTTAATTTACTATAGTATAAAGTACCATACTACTTTTCTCGTTTTTTATATAATTTATTTTTTATTTTACTTTGTTTTATTATTATTTTTTATTTTATCTTTCTTTACTTTTTTTACTTCCTTCATGTTAATTTATTTTACTTTTTTTATTTCTTTCATTCTATTTTAATTGTTTATTAATTTGTTATTTACTTTTAATTTTAATTTCTTTTATTTAATTTAATTTTATTTTATATAATTTTATTTCATTTTATTTAATTTAATTTTATTTTACTTTATTTCATTTTTATTTTATTTTTTATTTTTTCATTTCACTTTAATGCAATTTATTTTAATTTTTGAACTCTTTTGTTTTTTTTTTAACTTAATATTTTCTTGTTTATTTTAATACAATCTTTCTTATTGTTTTTTTTAATTTTCTGTATTTTATTTTATTTTGTTTCACTTTTTATAAATAGTTTAGATTTATTTGGATATTTTTATTGTATTTTATTATTTTTTATATAATTTTTTTATTGTTTTGAATTCAATTTTTTTATTTTTATCATTTTTATTTTATTTTTTATAGTATTTTTATATCCTTTTAATCTTTTTGTTATTTAATATTTTTATTTCCTTTTTACTTTATTTTCTTAATTCATTTTAATTTACCTTAATTTTTTTACTTTTTTCATTTGTATTCGTTATATTAATATTTTCTTTATTTTTTCTTTAATTTATTATTATTTCATATTTATTAATTTATTTTTTTTATTTTTATTTTTTACTTTTACCTTTACTTGAGTTCATTCCAATTTGTTTGCTCTCTTTTACTCACCTATCTAAACTTTTGTTTGTGTAAATATCACCAGTGGCCTTATCAACAACAAAAGCGTTATCCTCATTTCCAAGCAACAAATAATAATATACATCTCTATTATGTTTGCTTCGTGCCGTCGCTTGTATGCGCCCAATTCTTACGTCTCGCCCACTATTCTCTTTGATAGATATTTTGTAAGGATTTGCAGCATCGGAGAATTCCGGACGATTTTCGTTGGCATCAACAATGCTGATGCTAAGGAAACGTAATGTTTCAAATGGTGTCGGATTACCAGCATCGCGAGCCACCAAAATTATGTCGTAGCTGCAGACAAACAAATATTAGAAAATGAGTTCAATATTTCAAATCCCCCATTAACCTACTTTGCACGCTCTTTACGATTCAATTCACGTTTGGTGCGTAGCTCGCCGGTGACTGCATCGATGCGAAAATCATCGGTCTCTTGTACGTTTTCATTGCTGACTTGGAAATGATAGGAGAGCACACCATTCTCATCCGTATCATTGTCTGTTGCTTTGACGGTGAGCAGCAAATAGTCTTGTTGTACAATATCCTGGTAGAAGGGAAATACATTTTAGGCTTCACATAAAATTCCTATTGATATCTCACTTACCCCAGGTATCTCAATGGTGGCATTCGAGAGCGCTGGTATTACGAAAACGGGTCGATGCTGGTTCACGCCCATAACTGTGATCAACACACGCGTGCGACTCTCCATGGTGCCCGAACCTTGAGTATCACGTGCAACAACTTCCAATGCATACATACCCTTCTTGCCACTCAAACTTTGTGCAGGATAAACAATGCCTGTTTGCGCATCTAAGCGGAACAAACCCTGCTCATTGCCGGCAACAATGTAGTAGCGTACATCGCCAAATATACCCTCATCCGCATCGTGTGCTTTCACTTGCAGCAGAGCAGCAGGTGGATTAATAGCGGCATTCTCCGCCAAGCTCGTTGTGTATTGATCTTGTGTAAAGATTGGCGCATTGTCGTTAACATCCAACACATTGATATGGATCTGTAAAATGCGAGAGCGTAAAGTTGTTCACAAATAATTAAATTAAGCTCTATTTCATTTTTACCGCTGCTGTTGCTGATTTCTGCACTGTAGTCGGCGCTTTATCCTGTGCAACAGCTGTCAGTGTGATCTCGCTTATCTTCTCACGATCGAGTATCATCGCATCGGCTACCATTATGCTGCCTGTGTAGGCATCAATGCTAAAGTATTTGCTATATTCGCCAATTAGTGAGTATGTGAGTTCTCCAAAGGGACCAACGTCGGCATCAAATGCTTCAACCTTGCCGGCAACAGTGCCACGTGGCGAATTTTCGGTGACATTAAAATGATACTCGGTTTGGCTAAAATGCGGTTCATTGTCGTTTAAATTGATGATATCAACAGTTACTTCAGCGGTGGATGTGAGAGATGGTACACCGGTATCACTAACGGAGGCTACGAATTTCACCTCTTTTAAGGTTTCATAGTCAATGCGTGTGGTGGAGCTGATTACGCCAGTCGTTTTATTGATCGTGAAATATTTATTTGGTGAGATCGTATATTCACCAATGGTTGAGTCGTCATCGTAGGCCTGTAGTGTTGTCAGCACGGAGCCAATTGGTTGCTCCTCAGTCATTTGGAGTTTAATTACAGGATTCTCCGGTGTCCATGGTGGGTTGAATTTCTGAAAAGAGGTGAAAATATAAAATTCAACGTTTATCAACACTGTAATAATTTGAAATGTTAAGGTGTCAGAGGTGAAAATAGAAACAAAATTTTCATTGTAATAATAATTTCATTAACGGAAAAATAAAGAAAAAAAATTTAGAAAAATTAATAAAAATACCAAAAATTTGTACCAAAATTATGAAAAGTTTAGTCACAGTAATCCTTCGCAAAACAAGATGGATGAGAGCGATTCGGCTGTTATGCCTTATGGAAAATTCAAAATTTTGTTTATAAACGTTTTTGTTATATTATTTAAAGCAGCCACATTGAAGCCGCGCAAACTCTATTACAACCTTAAAACGGTAAACGCTGCACACAATGGATTGCAATTTTTTTTATATTTGATTTTAATATTTATGTTTTGCATTCACAGATTCACGATGTGCTTGAAAAATCCTGCTGCAACACTTTGCTCTCACATTTATACATCATATTTGTGTCCTTGATGATTTTAGCGAAGTTCATAATGAGTTATCTAGGGCTGGCGGCTAATATTATAGCATTGTAAGTATCTTATAAAATATAGTAGACAACCCAGTAAATAATAAAACAACAAAGACATCCCTACGATTTTGATGCAGACGCTTTTTTCGAAGAGCTCAACATTTTTCTTAGAGTATGGAACTTGGGTACAACCACTCTGAAGGCCTGGGTTCGAGTCTTGCTTGGACCAACATCCAAAATTATAGAAAAATTTTTTTTTCTAATTGTTGTCGCCCCTCCGAGTGAATTTTCGTTATAAAATCAAATCTCCTCATAAAGAAAATCCATGGGCCGTTCAGAGGTGGCTTGGTATAAACTGTAGGTCCCTCCATTTGTTGGGAAAAAATCAAGACCGAAAATTGCTTCAGTGGTTTCAAAGCGCCATTTTTATAAAACTATATATATAAATTTATATGCATATAAAACTTTAATGTTTAATAAAAAAAGACAGTCCTACATTTGATCTCAAAAGTCCATCGCATTAATGTACGATTGATAGATCTGAAATACGTCGTCCTAAAAACGATAGTTAGGTCAATAGCTTTGATTGTATAAGCTGTTTTTGAGAAATGAAACTCACTTATGGTCTTCTTCTTTTTCTTTATTCGCGTTGGCACCGCTTAAGCGCCATTACTTACTTACTTTACTGGCGTAGACAACGCTTACGCGATTATTGCCGATTTTCAACAATGCGCCGTTCGTTTCTTATGTCTAAATTGGAAATACCAATGCGGGTACTGCATCGAACACTTTCAAGCTGGAGTATACGTATCCATACGCATCACATGACCTAGCCAGCGTACCCGCTGATTGATTCGCTGGACTATATCAATCTCGCCGTATAACTCCTACAGCTCATCGTTCCATCGTCTGCGGTATTCGCCGTTGCCAACGCGCAAAGGACTATAAATCTTACGTAAAACCTTTCTCTCGAAAACTTCTGACGCCGTCTCATCATATGCTGCCATCGTCCATGCTTCCGTACCATATATCAGGACGGGAACGTTGAGAGATTTTCACCGTCCGGTTTTTTTCTCATCACTCGTCGAAAAACGCCATGCATTCATAGATCTCTTCCGACTTGGGGGCAGAGAAAAGTCACAAGGAGATGAGAACGGTGTTTTTTGGCAAAAAAAAAAAAAGAAATTAAAATCAATGGCGACAAAAACGAGGTTTCAGACGAGTTGTCTCATTATCGTTTGATTTATTTTATTTATTGCCGGAGACTAACTGTAGAGTTGAATAGCGAAGGTACAATCTTCAGTAAAAGTTTACAACTGCCAGCGTCAACAACTACGCCGTGAGTTCTGTTTCCTTACCCACAGGTGGTACTTTACTTCAAAAGTAAAGTCCTGGACAAACAAAAACCAAACTACCGAAGATGAGGTGACGTTGTGAGTTTCTGAGTAAAAGTTTTTCCGAAAGAAACTCTGCGAGTTGGCAGCCACTAATACCACAGCCAATGGAACGTTCAGCTGTACAAGATATACCGCGACTATTTAGAGTCTACTTGACCGTAAATAAGAAATCTTCTGTGTAAACCAACATTATTTTGGTTTGTCCTTACCAACGTATATCTGTCCTCTCAACTTCCGTTCGCCTCACGCGATCACACTTTTCGTAACGTCTTCGTAACACGTTCATCAGTTTACTCCTCAGGTACAGCGTAGGTAATTAAGCCATTACATGAAATTGTATTATAAGTATGATGCGAAGTTTGTAAGTACCAATAGGAGAAGAGATAGATATATTCGTGTGTCTGTCACTTTGTACACAAACTAATCTCTCAGTTTTTGATAATGTTAATATTTCAACCAAACTCAAACTTGCTGCATAGATGCTCTACGAAGTAAGACATTCGTATCTATAGGACTATATCACATATAAGCTGATTTGTGCAGATATCAAGCTATTGGACGTAAACCCTTCAAAGAAGCATCTTTAACTGTGAGATTCAGCATTCTACTATTTGTAAAGGGTGATTTTTTTTTTAGCTATTATCTTTTTGGCAACACTGGTTTAAGCAGCTGACGCACGTTTCGTGTTTTGTATCACTGTAAAACATCTTGTGTTTAGGCTGGTGGCATCATTGGACCATACTTCTTCAGAGATGATGCGAATCGTTACGTAACTATGAATGGTGAGAGCCATCGTGAGATGATATCAAACTTTTTTTTGCTCAAAATGCAAGAGCTTGACTTGCATGATATGTAGTTTCAACAAGACCGTGCCACACGTCACACGGCACGGTTAAAAATGGACTTACTGAGAGGCGAGTTCGGTGAACATTTTATTTCACGTTCGGGACCGGTCGATTGGCCGCCTAGATCGTGCGATTTAACGCCTTTAGACTATTTTTTGTGAGGCTATATTAAAACTAATGTCGACATTTAAGCATTTATTAGTGAGATACCGGCCGAAATGTTGGAAAGGCTATGGCAAAATTGGACTAAGCGGATGGACCATTTGAGGCGCAGTCACGGTCAATATTTGCATGAAATAATCTTCAAACATTAAATTATATGGACCTTACATCGATTTAAATAAAGAATTCATGCATTTTTCTACATTTTATGTGTTTTTTTCCAGATCCATATAGCTCTTAAAAAATCACCCTTTATATACAAATAAACATTGACAACAAAAGTCATGGCAATGAGCTCTTCTATCTTGTTGTTATTTACATTTGCCTTAATTAGTATTTCTTCATTATTCTTAGATTTCCAATTTTGGTGGAGGAATTTGCCGATCTACTTGTACCAAGCATTTATGTCCAATTCGTGGAGAATATATTATTCGCCATTATGGAGGTTATAGTCGGAGGTATAACGGTTCGTTACTTTTTACCATGCAAAATACCGTTATTTATTATATTCGTTACAAAAAATATAATACAAATAAGCATGGGCATAGCAGCGTTGTAAGTATATTTCTCTAGAAATTTATCGACTTTTATACAGTACCTGCAACTGTTCTTCGTGTAGAAACATCTATACAGATCTTCATCAAAGCCTAAAATACGATATGGATATGGTGGAGAACGGATCGGAGATGGGATCTAATGAGGGGGAATTATTCTTGCGCAAAGAGAGTTTGGTATGACATAAACAGAAATAGTCAATCGCACTGAACACTTACCGGCGGTGTTTTATTAACATCGGTGATCTGTATATTTAGTAAGCCACGACCTTGTTGCACAGTTGGCGCTGTACTATCCGTAACGAGTACACTAATGCGTATGACCTTGAGCGATGCAATTAAAAGAGAAATAGAAATATTTACTCAATAAACATAAAATGATATTCTTTGATTGCTTTGATTATTAGCTTACCGCAAAGAGATCCCGATTCAGGTCCTTATTCACGATCACTTGCCCCTTACGATTTATGGTGAAGTATTCTTTAAACTGGTCACTATTCGGCACTTCTTTGCCGTCCTTATCGATGGCGACAACGTCCGTGCCAGCGAATTCGAGCGCACTATAAGTGGGAATATCAGGATCGAGTGCGATTAGCGTATGTACTAATGTGCCCACCGGAGCGTCTTCAGCAATCTATAATTAACGAAGAAATTATTTACAAAAATAACATCTCCCGACAACCAGTAGTTATTACCTCAGCATGTTGCGTAGCCGGCGTGAAGTATGGATCCTTATCATTGCTATTGGTAATGTTCACCGTGAGCGTAGTGGTGCCCGAGAGGCTTGGTGTACCCAGATCTGTTGCCAAAACTTCGATATGATATGTATTGCGACGATCATAGTCGAGTTTACGCGAAACAAAAACATCGCCTGTCCGCTCATCAATGCGGAAATCATTGAAACTTCCGTGCTCAATGCGATATCTACAGTAGAACACAAAAGTACGCATACAGACATAAGAAAAGATTTTATAATTTTTATTAGCCACCTTATCTCCGCATTTGGGCCCGAATCTAAATCCTCAGCCTGCAACTTCTCAACGCTTGTGCCAATTTCCGAATTCTCCTCCACCACTGCTGAGTACTCCGCTGCAAGAAAGCGTGGCGCATGATTATTCACATCGCGTACCGTTATATTCACACCACAATTGGTGGTGAAAACACCATCATTGGCCTCAACCGCAAAAACCAAATGGTCGCGCTGCAGATGAGTCACATCGAGTGTAGCATTTTGGCGTACCGTTATTTGACCGGAACGTTTGTCTATGGTAAAAATGCTTGATATTTGCTCATCACCAATAATGCGATAAGTTATGTCGGAAATGGTATCAGCATCGCGCGCCTTCACCACCAAGGGGGAGTCAAACACATGCGCACCCTCATCGACGGCAGCACGATACAATGGGCTCTCGCAAACAGGCGGCGAGTCGTTGGCGTCTGTGACTGAAATACGTAATGCCACCACGGATGTTTGGCCTTGACCGCCGTCGTCGGTTGCCTGCATACAAAGTGTGCAGTGTACGTGTGTGGTTGGTATGTGGGGGTGTGTGTGTGTGTGTGTTTGTGGTGAAGAAATGAAAACGAAATTATATTCAAAACATACGATTAGAAAACAAACATGAAACTTGAAAACGAAGTCACATACTTAATTGCAAATGAATTTCAAATAGCAACTACAAACTTGCGCCGTCTTCCATTGAAGACGACAACGTACACCACTTTTTGTTGCTATAAAAACAACAATAAAACAAGCAATAAATACAACAAATAGCAACAACGCGTGCTGAGCGTCACTCACTTTGTATGACAGAAAGTACGTGGTCTCCGTTTCGTAGTCGAGGCACGTACGCGGCACCTCAGCGCCTACGTCTATTTGAGCCGTTGTCGGTTGGGAATAGGATGAGAAGACTGTGGGAGACGCGTTTGTTACGCTCGTTTCCATTACAGACGGCAAATGTGCGGACACTGCTGGCGTTGGTGCTGTTACAGTTTCGCTAATGACATCGTTAATGCTGCTGCGTGCTTCCGATTGCGTAACGACTTTATACTCTGACGTCGGTTCTGTGTTGATTACAAAAGCATTAAAAAGTGCATCGATGGACGGTGGTTCATTGCTTCCCGCCAATAAGGATGCGGATGACATCAACGTACTGTAATTATCCACATCCAACATGGCTGTTTCAGGCTCGGACTGCTCCTCTTGCTTCGCTGGCAACTGTCGCCGCTGACGGCCAACTCTGCTGATACCTGCACCAGTGTTGTCGGCCATGGTACCATGACAATCGGCTAATGTTATTACACCCGTTTGCTCATTAACGTGAAAAAGCTCAGCACCGGTACCCGACAGACTGTAACGTATTCCAGCATCACCATATTGCCCAGAATCCACATCCTTTGCGGTGATAGTGGTGATGTATTGGCCGGGTAGCGCCGCTTCTGATATACTCGCTGAATATGATTCATGTTCGAACATTGGCTTATTGTCATTTGCATCCAATACGGTTATAGTGATGGTGGCGGTTGAGGAGAGTTTCGGTTTGGTGTCTGTCTCCTCGGCAATTACAAGCACAATGAATTTACGTTGATTGGGATTCTCATAATCGAGTGTGCCATTGCCGACGCGTATGTTAACTTGCGAGAAACCATTAACGAATTTCGGCTCCACTTCAAACACGCCGGATACATCGTCCAAACGTAGCGAGAATCTCGAATTGACACCAACATCACGATCCGTCACATTCATGTCGAGTGCCAGCGGTGTACCGGGTGCGGTGTTTTCTTGCAATGAAACTTCATATTCTTTTTTATTGAAGGTGGGTGGTGAGTCGTTAACGTCGCGTATGGTTATCGTCGCTTGTGCGACAGTGCTGGTAAGTGTGTCGCTGCTCGCTGTGCCATTGACAACTTCACGCGCCTTGAAGAGACAAAAAGCCGCAAAAAATCATATTAATATGAGATTATATTATAACGGAATTATAATTGGATATGTGTAATGGACGCTTTTCGCATTGTGAACTAAATATCAGACTAAAATTCTCGAAATAAGGTAAGCACGTATCCAGATAAAATGAATGTAAAGAGAAAGTTCCAACCGAAAGATTTTCAAATGAATGGTTTGATTACAGATTTTTTTCAGCAAAAATATTCTTTTCACTTCTTTTATTTGTTTATGTTTTTTTGCAATAATTTGCTTCTTCTTCTTACTGGATAATGAGAATTTTACAAGTCCCAAAATTCCAGCTGATCCGTGTCAGTTGTTGAGCTTTAAATTTCTATGAGAAAGTCAAAATTCCAAAAATGTCTCCAGCCAGCCAACGAGGTTTTAAGGTTAGATCATTTCAAAAATTGCATGTTGAATAACTCTCTACAGTTACGTTACAGGAACCTACAGTTTATTCGAGGCCGCCACCGAGCGACGGATGAATTTTTATGACGAGCTTTCAATTCATATCAGAATTACACTCTTAGCGGTTGACATTTTCTGTTGAGGTGCGACTGCAATTAGAAATATTTATTTTCGGATGTTAGTCGGACCAGAAATCGAACGCGAATGGCGATACGCGTTGCTAACCACTCATCTATTGGTGAGTCTACCAGAGTAAATTTGTATCGTAAAGGATTATAAGGTAAGTCAGCAAATGAGCAGAGATTTTCAATACGAGGCCGGGGGGCCTTAAGATTTAACAATCGAGAAATATGAAAAATACCTTCATTTCATTATGATTTAACGACACTCTAAAGGTAATTAATAAAAAAGAATTATAGTTTGAGTGCAGCCTTACCCTAACAGTGACTGTTATTAGGCCTGTACTATCCGGCAGAGCTTCGCGATCTAACGGTTTAGCCGTACGTAATTCACCGCTTTTCTCATCCAACAAAAAGTAGTCCATCGGATCTGGAAATACAATTGTAAAAATCAATAGTTTCTTGTACTACATATATACGTATGTTATGTACAATATGTATGTTATGATTAATGACTGTTTCGTCGAAAATGTATAGAAAAAGTAGTTTTTAATTATATGGGGAAAATTACTAAAAGGTGGATCTATGATGTAAACATAAAGCAAATTTTATACCAACACTTTATAAAAATAAACTAACTTGTTGAACTTCATATCGCTCTCATTATTACATTCGATTATTCAGAAAAAAAAATCAATTCGATTAAGTTATTCGAACCTTTTTGAAAATTACTCGATAATTCAGATTATAAGTGATTCAAAACAACGTCGCCTCTTTGCTGGTTGGAACCTTGAATTCATACATTTCAAATGATGCGGAATTTCATCGAAAACTCATTTTGATTGACGATACCCACTCCCACCTCGATGACTACACCAATAAGCAAAACCGTCGCACCTGAGACTCGGAAAACCCAAGATTTATTGTTGAACAGCCGCTCCATTCGAAACGTTTAACTGTTTTTCAAAAATTAATGGATTGCGCTATTGAGAGATGATTTATGATATTTTATGGTCGGAATCGGATGGTATTGATCTGGATAATGTTTGCTTTGAGCAAGACGACGAAACGTTCCTTTGTATACCAAAATAACATCCCTTATTGGAAAACCCTGTATTTCTCGCCCTTGTCGCTTTTCAAGAAGTACGGTCCAATCGCATCTCCAAGCCAAAGTGCGTACCAGGCAATGAGTTTTATGTCCTCTCATCATTTATTTGAGGATTCTTGAAGCGATAAATGCTACAATTTTGCTTATTTATGTATGCTCCTGAGTGAGAAATACGTCACGTCGATGAATAAAGTTATGTTTATAAAGTCGCCGTCCACTGCAACCAATCGACGTGAATGCGCAGCTGGCTTCACTTGTTGTATGACTTGGACTTTATACGGATCTAAGTGAATGTTCAAGTGCAAAATACGCCATAATGTGCCGTGAGAAAGTCCCACCTCTTGAGAACGTCGAGAAAAATACACATTCGGGTCTTCGACTGCACTTTCACTTACAGTGGCGAGAAGAAATCTTCTTTAAAATTCTACCAACTGCTTAAGACAATGCACCTGCTCACCCACAAAGGTGTTTTAACAATGACAAAATTCAATGAATTAAAGTACGAATTGCTAGAGCATTTACCAGATTTGGCTCCCAGCGACTAAGAAGCTATTCCAGCCGTAAACGGGTATTTTGCAGGGCTTCCAGAAAGTCATTGTAGGGATGTCATAAAATTATTGTAGGATCAATGGAATCATTGTATTAAAGTTAAGGGAGATTATATCGAATATGCATGACAATATCCTCTGAAAGCACGAAGTGTGGAAAGGTTTAAAACATGTGGTAGGTTTTAGTAGCTTAACACGTTGTGCTGTATTTTTGCGATCCCATTTATTCAATGCGTGACCTATTGATCTAAACGGAGTTAGGCGACATTAATCACCTCTTTACATGCCCCCTTAAGCCGACACATTTAACAACCTCCCTTCCTCCCTCTGGTCCGATCCCGTCGAAACAGTACGTTAGCTGGCCGTCCCGTTAGATGACCTTGGTAACATGTCTCTAAGCGGGGTTAACGTAGCCGCTACAACAACAACAAGATTGAATGCCTGACTTTTAAGCACGTTCGCCATTGACGGGAAAAGATGGTAATCACTTGGTGCCAGGTCCGGACTATAAGATGGAAGCTTTAGGGCCTTCCATCCGAGCTCCTGGAGCTTCTGGCGCGTCACCAAAGACGTGTTTGGCCTGGCGTTGTCCTGATGGAACACAATTCGGCCTCTGTTGATCAAAGATGGCCTCTTCTGGATGATTGCTGCCTTCAAGCGGTCCATTTGTTGGCAGTAGAGGGCCGAACTGAGCGTTTGGCAATAGGAGAGCAGCTCGTAGTTGGTGATTCCTTGTCAATCCCACCAAACATACAGCGAAACTGTCTGGGCCACTTCCCTGAGCTTTGACCACGATGTTATCGTAAGTGACCCATATTTCATCGCCAGTCACAATCCGCTTCAGAAACGGGTCGATTTTGTTGCGATTCAGCAGCGATTCCCAGATGGAAATTCGGTCCATCATGTTTTATTATTCTGTAAGTTCGTGTAGCACCCAAACATCGAGCTTCTTTTTGAATCCAAGGTTATACAAATGATTCCAAACGGTTTTCTGACTTATCTTTTGTTCCTCAGCAATGAAATAAGTTCTCACGTGACGGTCTGCTTCCACTATTTCCATGATTTTATCGCAATTTTCGACGACAGGCCTCCCGACGCGTGGTGCATCTTTGACATCGAAATTACCGTTCGTTTACAGCATCGTGCCCATAAACTAAATTAATTTTTTCAGCCGCTTTGGCTTCCTTTTCGCCTTGATCGAAGAAAAATTATGAAATATAGCGAATTTTCTCTTTGCTGATGTCCATCTTTGACGAGCGCTCACAACGTACTGAGTCAATGAATCGAAAAACTTTCAAAGACAAACTTTTAGCGCGAATAAGCACGTTTTCAGCGCCGTATAGTATGATATGATGCGACACGTAACACTAGTACTATGGTCAAAAGCGCCATCTCTTAGATCCGAAAATCGAACGAGCTTTTTACTTGACCTTATGTACGCAATAGTGGTTTTTGATCAAAATATTTTAATAATTTTTCCTTTTTTGTATTGTCAATGCGACACGGAATTGATTATAATGTCGAATTAGTTGATTTATCCCACATCGTCAGTATTTATTAAGTGTAACTGAAGTTACGTGTATGTACACGTATGTATGTATATTTAACTATGTATTTAATAAAATCGAATAACACAAATTCACTTGCAAACACTTATATTTACAATGTACTCGTACATACTCGTATATATTATATCATACCTCTGCGTCATGTACGCCAATATTACGTAATGAATCTTAATTTCAATACTCAATAATTTATCAGATAATTGCGTGAAAAGCCGCCACCATTAATCAACTTAATTATTGCACTTACTCGTTAACAAATCGTAAACGATTTTCCTCGGCTCGCCGGTATCGCCGTCGCGCGCCTGCACTTTCAACACCAACGTACCAATGGGACTGTCCTCGTCGATGACCGCCGACAAGGAGCCTTGAAATACAGGCGGCTTATCCTGTACGTCCTTAACGCGCACTTCGAAAGTCGTTTGTGAATTATGTACGCCATCCTAAGGAGAGTGTGCAGTCAGGCAACGAGAACGAGAAAAAAGCAAAATAAAATATAATAATAAATAAAAGTAGAGCATAATGGTAAATTCAAGAGATAAGTTAAAATGACAAGCACACTCCTTTGTGGGTAGTGGCACAGAAAGCTGGAAGTAAATTGTTAACAACTTAATTGCTTATTAAGAAGTCGCCGCCAATTGGGAAAGCGTTTACAACACCATCCGACCGGTCGCTATGACCTCACCCCCACCTCACACACACACACACACACACACACACACTAGCGTCCACGCACCCACTTACCGTTGCTTCAATTTGAAAGTGATAAATCATGCGTTGATTATAATTCAGCGTGTCATTCAACACGATGGCCGCCTTTAATATTGTTGGCTCACGCAATAATGGCTCCAAGCGGAATCTGTGTGGGCGTACAATGTGAGAAATGTGAAAGAATATTGTGATTGTTGGGATTTGTGAAAAGTAAACACGACATAAAGGGATTTAAGTTTTATATTTTCTTTAGTACTCACTTGTTGCACGCCTCAGGACTTTGCTCCTGTGGCAGGCATTTCAAGTCAAGACTCTCGCCGATGGTATCACGGTCAGTGACGAGAATTTTATTGAATATTGTTGTGCCAATAGCAGCATCTTCGTTCACATCTGTTTCGTATGGTGTCTGTGTGGAAAGAAATTATAGTAATTTTTTAAAAGCGAATTAATGATAAGTTTAAATATAATTGTTTGGTTTTAAATATAGAAGAGTTACTGAATGTACTTGAGGTATATTTCAAAACCTGTGGTTCTAACATAAGAACGGCTTGAGAATACCGGACTGAATTCCTTTTTTTACGAGGACTCTGCGCGAAGACTGGAGTGGTCGCAAGTAGCTGAATCTCTAAGTGACGGAGAGGTCTTCATGGATCGTCTGTCGTGAAATATCCATCGGCACAGACTGTATGCTTCCAGACCATTACATTATTTACCAGGCGGCGCTCTTTGCATTGCACTCACCACTTCGAAGGGTAGTTGTTGTGAGACAGGACAAAATTTACGTAGATAGCTGATCGGCCGATAGCCAAATCAAGATGCCAGGCGTTCCAATAAGAAGAAATGCCATTAATAATGGAAAGCAATTAGAGCCAAAAGACGACCACGGCTAAGCTTACAGGACCGTTTTCATTTCTGTGAAATTTCCCATCTCCTAATCGCTTCACGAATTTCTTTTTTGAGGGGCTGAATCGACATTGGTATGTAGGCGTATTTCTTATCTTTCACGTGGCCTCAAAGGAAGAAGTCGCAAGGTGTTAAATTACAAGATCTTGGTGCGGTCACCTCTTCGAGAGATAACACCACCCGGAAACTTTTCTCTTAAAAGATCGATGGTTTTTTTTGCTCGTGCGAGACGTAGCAACATCTTGTAAAAAGTAAACCTTATCCAGATCAATGTTATCTCTCGATACCGCAAACCAATTGTAACTGTTGCTCCAGTTTCGAGAAAGTAATACCAATGACTCCGCCGTACCCTAGACCACAGCAAACAGTTACACATTGAGGATGCAACAATAAATCTTGGGTTCTCTGAGCACCAAATGAGACAGTTTGCTTATTGATGTAGCTATCGAGGTGGGCAGAGGGCTCCTCAGTCAAGATGACTTTTTCATAAAATTCCGGCTGATTTTTAATGCATTTCAAGGACCCAATCAGCGAAGACACGACGTTGTTGATGATCGTTTGGCTTCTTGTGTTCTTGTGTTAACTGAATTTTATAGGCCTTAAAACCCAAGTTTTTATGCAAACTACGGTGTAATGAGGTTTGCGTTTGCACAATTTCGAACAACGACAAGGAATGCACAAACCTGGGCTTTCTTCAACACTTTGGGCTACAGCAGGAATACCATCAATTGTTCTTGAGAAACGTGCACGTGTTTCATTCTTCGCATTACAGATTTGCTCCATTTTTTCACCAATTTTTGTATTTCAGTTCGAGAAGGGTCTTCACGATGACCGAAATATGCTTTAGTTGTACGAATCGTCTCTGTCTCTATCAGGCTTGCGTCATAATAAGCGTATCGTAAACTACATATATGCATTTTGGGTAGACCACGGTAATCACCTTTATAATTAAGACGATACTTCGGGAGTATGAGTAGAATACTCAGAATCCACTTATATTGTATGAGGCATAACTAAGTTCATTCAAGTTGCAAGCTTAACTCGAAACACTACATGGAAAGCCCCATGCATAGACGAAGTACTCGTATAGGGTCATAAAAAATTGCTTAATCGTTAATCTCGCGAGACCTGGTCATGTTGATGGAAATAAAAAAAGAGACCATAGAATAGCCGACAGAACTATATGAGAGCCTAGATAATGCCAGGTGTTGCGCTAGATTTTGATGCAGTTACCGCCACATCACATCAGCGGTGTCTTGTTATTGTATTGATATCCGGTAAAGATTTCCAACTCACAATAGAACGAGTTTCATTCAGTAGCATTATTTTATTAGAGATAAAAATGTCGAGTTTTGTGCCAACAAATTACGATTTGCTTTTCTGTTTTCATCTGAAGAAAACCGCAGCCGAATCGCATCGAATGCACATGGCGGCGTTTTATGAGCATACTCTCCGTAAAACACAGTGTTTCGAGTGATTCAAATGGTTCAAAAGAACGTGGAAGACCACCGAACAAGTTTTTTGAAGAGCTGCAGAAACCTGTGGAAACTGTCAATACTCAATTCTACCGACAACAAATGAACGATTTGGATCGAGTTTTGAGTGAAAAACGACCAGAATACCAACAAGGACAACACAAGGTGATTTGCTGCATGATAATGCACCAGCACACAAAGCAAAACGGGTTCAGGAAACGATAGAGTCGTTCCGTTGGGAGATTCTTCAGCACGTGGCTTACTTACCGGTTCTTGCCCCATCCATTTACTACTTGTTGCATCGATGGGACACGCATTTGCTGAGCAGCGCTTTACTTCTTACGAAGAAGTAGGAAAATGGCTCGATGACTGGTTTGCCTCAAAAGAGCAACAGTTCTTTTGGCGCGGAATCCATAAATTGCCAGAAATATGGGAATAATGTATAGATAGCAACGGACCATACTTTGAATAAGTTACTTTGTATCAAATCATTACAATAAACGCGTTTTTTGTGTACAAAAATTCCGGTTTCATATGTACACACCTGGTATATGTATTGCCAAATACGATATCCAAAGAGTCAATACACACCACTCACCACATGTTGCTGCAACTAAAAATGTTTCACTTTCATTTTTGTACTCACATTTTGAAATTCTGGTGGATTATCATTTTCGTCCAGCACAATAATAGTAATCGGCACCTGTACAATGTTATCCTGTTCCGATTCGCCCTCGGGATTTACACGATCCCGTATTGTTACATGAAACAACAGACTATCCTTCTCTTCGCGATCCAATGGTTTAATTAGTGTTATAATACCCGTAACGGGATCCACTTCGAAGTGTTCCGAACCGATGGCACCAAAAGTGACATTACTACCCTCCGGATCGTATCCTTGCAATTGTGTAACGACCGTACCAATGGGTGCATTCTCCGCAAGTACAATATTATTGAGAACTTGTGTGAAGACCGGCGGCCGATTTGTTTCAGCTGCAAGAAGATTAGCATACAAAAAAAAGTGAAATGAGAGACAAAATGAAATGAGAGTATCGCGAGCGAATAAGTGAGTTGTGCATAGTTGCTACTTACAGCTGATTAACGGTACGATGCATATAAGCGCTAACGCAAAGAGCTGATAGTGCGTGTGTGTTAATTTAAATCGGGGCATTGTGTTGGTGCTGAAAAAAAAACAAAGAACGTGAGGGTTTGTAAATATGAATTTGTATGTATGGAAATCAGTGAGCGTGAAAAAAATATATATTTTATTAATTTTTCTACTCAAGCTCAAATTATAACTATGTACTCGTATATGGAAATGTTTTTTTAAGCTGTTTGGAAAGAGAGTTTAGATGAGTTGTTTTACGGTGCATGCTAAGAGGTGGCCTGCAAGACAAACGTTGGGTAAGTAGGAGTTTAGTCTGCTACAATATCCAGATCTTAGCTGCGCCAATATTACTCAAGACATTCGAGGCAGTTCGAGCTCTTCTTCTGCAATGGGGGGTGGTTTGTCTCCGAGAACGCCATTCACTGGAACAGGGTTCGGAAAAGTGTTGATGGACTCCCAGTGAATGGCCAGTTGATAGATCGTGCTGTACGGCGGCTGTTGTAAGTGGTGCTGAATTCAGTCCGAGTACTCCTTGTCTGATGTGTCTGGAAATGTTTCAGCTTCTAGTAAGTGTTTGTCGAGGTGCTTCATATGGTAGCATTCCAATAGAAATTGTTTACATAACAAAGTCTTATGCTCCTAAACACGTAGCACAGATGCTTCGCTCTGACGACATCTGGAGGTCTTCTACTACGGTCTTGACATCATCTGCTTCCCGCTATTCCCTGACAGCCAGACAGGAGCAGCGTAGTTTACGACCGGTCGGCCGATTTCCAATTGGATTGTTATTTGCCAGCAACGTTTTTCTCCTAACTTAGGTGCTTGAACACAGTAACATATCGCGTAGTGAGAGACCTAACAAGGAAGGACACTTACCTTCCATTTTCGCCATTAGGAAGATCCACTTGTTAGCTCATTATAAGAGTTATTCATCTTTGATTGGGTAGGCACGCACAGAGGTTGAGCGTAATATCAAACGACATCTAAAGAGAAGAGTAACCTGAAGCCTTAAGCGTTTTCTTTACGCTTATGAGCCGAACTTTTAAGGATGAATTTTTTTGGAAGCAAAAAACCACTGGACATGGACATGGATGGATTGCAGCCAATTTTGAACTACTTAAACACACGCATTTTCACTTCAGCGGTATGTGTTAAGGATGGCGTGTGACAATTTTTCCAAACACCCGCCTTACCCCAAAATTCAACACAACAAAAAAGCTTCAGATTTTCAGCATGAAATGAGCGGATGCACGATAATTAATGCCGCATCAAAAGTGCCAGCAACACCCACCACCCATTCCTGCCGCTTTGCCTGCGGCGCAAAATAGTACAATAATAAGCTCAGCAGCCATGAGCATCTGCAGAGTAAACAAAAATTATGATATCGGACAAACTAAGAATATCTATGTAAAGCAAAAACAACAGTGGAGAAGCAACAGCGGCAAAAAGTATGTTGCAGAGCTCCGTTCGTGCATAAAAAAATGCAGTGGAAGCATCACCAGCTCGCATGGGGTAACAACAAAAACTTCATCGGCAGTATGCAACAAGGAGCAGTGGCAGTAAGTCAACATTTGGCGTGGCGCTTAAATCAAAACATCAACGCAGTTTAAAGCAGCTAATACATGGTGCGGCAAAGTGACGGCGAATGGTTGGGGAGGAAAGCGTGAAATGCACAAATTCGGTTGAATATATGCAGCATACGAAATGAATGGATTGAGCGAAGTTCAACAGCTGTTCCAACAACCAAGCTGAGGGGCGCGAGACAAAGTGAAAATGGTGTAGATGTGCGTTGCAAAGTGGAATATCAAGGAGCTCTACACGCCTACAGTTGTCGCGTGGAAAGTGTTGGTGTTGGTTGTGCGAAAAAGTAATGTTTACATCAACGTTATTGCCACGAGCATTCAACACCCACAAATGGTTCCCCGTCACATAGTTCGCTGGCACCATTGATGAAGTGTTCATACTCATATATATAACGAACTCGTGCTTTACTCTTATGTTTTCAATGTTCTTCCAAAGTAGCTATTTTCCAGACTTTAATAAATTATTGCGTTATATTTTTTACCCCAAAGTCCCGGCGCGTAAAACCTACGAATTATCGGAAAATACCGATTTTGAATATCCGAGCAAATGTGTTAACGAACAGTGTGATCGGGTGATATATATTTTACACATATTTATAGGCGCAGTAGTTCTGGGTATAGTGAAAAGTAAATAAAATTTGTGCAAGTATACAAAGTAGGTAACTGAAGGGAGAAAGGAAACTTGCGGAAACATGACCTATTATAAATATGTATACCTATATTGAACAAAATGTAATAAAAAATTAATTTTCCGTAATTTTGGATGATGATCGGACCAACATTCCGAATGATAGTACGCATGGCTAAAAACTAGTACGCCAAGTTACCCAATGAAACTGATCAGCATGATTAAAATGTAACTCATACGTAGCGTAGACCCATCAAATGCTACTGTGTACTTTTGCGGTGTACTATGTACGTGCATAATACGAAAGTAAAACCAGTGTTAGGTTGTATCACTAGTTGAACAGCAGTTGAAGTAGTTGCGTTAAGGAAAACAAGTTTGAAACAAAGTTTTTTGTCTTATTTTATTTTATATTAATTTAATGATTTCATTTTATTTTCCTTTTTTTATTTTATTTTCCTTTTTTTATTTTATTTTACTTTATCTTTTTATATTTTATTTTATTTTATTTTCTTTTTTTATTTCATTTCACTTCCTTTTTTATTTAATTTAATTTAATTTTGTTTTAATTTATTTTATTTTATTGTTTTTTTATTTTATTTTTTTTTACTTTATTTTATTTTATTTTATTTTATTTTATTTTATTTTATTTTATTTTATTTTGTTTTATTTAATTTAATTTAATTTTATTTATTTTATTTTATTTTTTTTTTATTTATTAATTTAATTAATTTTATTTTATTTTAGGTATTTATTAGTTAATTTAATTTCGGTTGATTTAATATGAATTTATTTGATAGCATTTTCACTTATTATTTTTAGTTAATTTTGTTTAATGGTATCATTATCAGTTATTTAATTTTTTATTATTTTTTCCTATTGCATTTCGTTTTCTTTTTTGTTTGATGTTGTTGTAATTTATTTTCTTTTAACCAATTTTGTTAAACTTTTTCTTAAAGGGACAGAAAGGGACATATTTTTTCATGAATTAACATACCTATGCATACACATATGTACATATATGTATATGTTTACTAGCGCAATATCCCCCACCAGCATACTGGCGTTGATTTTAAAACTACATATTTGTATTTTACAACTAGAACATCAAAAATTTCCAATATGATTAATTTCCATGCAATTTGACAAGGAGGTGTTGTGTTTGTATGTATGTAGGTGTGATCCTGCCCTTTAAATGAAATTATTGTTTACAACCATTCCATTCCCAATTGACCGCCAAATTGCATTTAGTAATCCAACTTTTTTCTAATTATTGTTTCGTTGCTTTCACACAATATATGTACCTATATGTGTATATACGTGTATGTGTGTATGCTTGTATGTGCAAATATGTACCTTTAATTGCTGGAATTGTTATGTGCCTAGGCATTGCGTTTTGAAAATCGCACGCAGTACACTCTAAGCACCCAGCGTGGCATTTTTGTGTCTCTCTAAATTCCACACTAAATCGATTTCGCCGGTGTTCCACAAATATGTTGTGTACAGACACATATATATGTATATATATATATATATATATATATATCTGTACATATGTGCTGGAGAGAGTAATTCTACAATCGAATTACGTGAAAATTATGCTAAGCATACATACATACATACACTGGTATGCTTCGTCGCTATTTCGCTTGTATTTCAAATCCATTCATTTGCAAAAATTGCTATCCTGCGTGATTGTGGCATTTGCTCGTACGTGGAAATTTAATCAATCAGTTGCACATTACATTTGCATCGTTTTGCAGTGAAAAATAATCAAATCGAAAGAGTTAAGCATGTCCATGCACATACACATATTTATGTATATATATATGCATACATATGTATGAGGAACGCAATAAAAACATAACGCAAATTTATGCAATAATATGGGGAATCTCATGAGCATAATTTTTTTCATATTTTTTCTTCAATAAAATACAGTAGAAGCTCGATATGTATGGATGCCACATGAGTGAACGAGAAAAACCAATCTCGTGGTCCGAATTTCCAACTGCGATACACTGTATAGTCGTAACAAATTCGAGCCATTTCTGAGCGTATGGTGATTGGTGGTGAAAATTGATTTAAGTTATTGAAAAATAGATTGAAAGTACTGCATTTTGATATTTTCGTTTTGCTTTCGGATATGAAATGGCAGTGATCGGAAAACCGATACCACCAAAAAAAATGTAGTTTCAAATCGCCTGAAAAAACTTTGCATTATCTGCCGATAACACCATAGTGCTTATCTTTCATGCATGTCCATTAAGATTGTGGAAGTACGTATGAGCTCAACGCAAATGTTCTCCGCTTAACAGGCCAAACATATGCCTGACATACACAGTTCTAGTCTCCGCTCGATACCAACCAGCTCTTTGCCGCATTTGACCGACTCGTCTAAAACCAATCTCCCTGCAGTAAGAATCTATCGAAACAGACCATTTCCTTGATTCTGCAAGATAAAAAATTCAGCCTCAAATTACTACTTTCGCAGAATACCCAAAATGAAAAGCTTACTTTTCGAAAACTACTATTTTTAACTCAAATACCTATTGGATTTTTGTAGGGAATTCATCAACGTCAAGGAATATGTAAACGTAGCAAATTGAATATAATTATTGATATCGTTCACGCCAGGACTCAAACCCCGCCCTTCCCAATGTTAATACACAATACTAACCACTCAGCTATTGCGGTCACCCTGATCTTATGACACTACAATATGACTTCAACAACCGTAATATCCGTTCAATTTTCTCTGCACTGACAAAGAAAGCGAGTAAATATGTGTACATGGAAAAGCTCCTGCTTCCACGGAAACAATCAGTATACGAGTTATTTATGTATGAGTACATATCCGGAGCG